AGCTTGTGCGCGTGTGTGTGTGTGTACGTGTGTCTCTCCTCCCTCTGGGTGTCAACCGGCGCGCATTGCTCCAGCCTCGCGGCGTCTAGAGCCCTCCCGGGGGACAATTTTACGGCGGGCTCAGCACGCCCCGACCAGAGGGACGGGCAGAGGGGGGGGGGCGGGGGGGGGGGCGGTGCCGCGCCCCCGCCAGTGCGGCCCCCGGCCCCCCCCAGCGGGGGGGCGGCCCGCCGGGCCCCCGGGCGGGGGGAGGAGGGGGGGGGCGGGGGGGGGGGGGGGGGGGGGGGGGGGGGGGGGGGGGGGGGGGGGGGGGGGGGGGATGAACTGGCCCCCATCATGTGTTACTCCAAAGCCCCCCCAAGAGTTCTGCTTTGGTACAAGTCTCGACCGAGGAGGAGGGGGAGAGAAACCTCCCATCGTCATTTTACGTCATGTCTGTGTATACGGAGTGGCGAACGAGGTATACCTCGCCAGCGCGGCAGAGGCGACGACACCTACACGCAAGTCTTGATTTCTAGCCTCGCTTGAAAGGACAGTTGGAGGAAGCGTTATGGCTATGTTATGGGGATTATTCTATATTGTTGTCTTTGATGATTTTGAATTCTTCTCGAGTTGGTAACATCGTCAGACAAGACGTTTAGACTGATGACTTTGATGTTTTTCCTCTCCCCTCTTTGCACACAATGTGCCAGGAAAGGATAAAACAATCTTCGAGCTCAAAGGCCGTTTCTTACTCTGTGAAATTTCCTTCTCATATCCCCTTGCGGGGCCACATGTTTCCCCGCTCTCACCAAGTACTTTGTCGTTCGTCGTTGATCCGTCTGACTCGTTGATCCAATTCGTTCCCCCTCCCCTTACCCATCCCTTTGGAAACCTTCTTTTCCCCAGGTCCACATGGATTTTCATCCCTTGCTTGGGCTTTTCTGCGCGACCATTTGCCGGTGGTCCACGCAATCGTTTCTGTCCTTCTCTTGCCGACTTGATCCTCCTCTTGTTCCGAGACCGTATTCTTCTTCGTCATGAGATAGTGATAAACATGGCAGTGACAAGTGAGAACATTCAAGCGTTAATAATCCAACGTGGAGCGGAAAACACGAACAAATGAAGATCGAAAGCAAAAAAACAACAAAACAAAAGAAAGATGAACGGGATGGAAAATGCAATCGCTGCGCTAAAATGCAAATGTTCCGGCTGGTCCCCACGCCTCCCTTCGTCAATCGGCCACATGCTCGTAACCCGCAAATGGGGAGCTAATTGAGGTGCTCTTTGGATGCGTTTGACGATCTTCCGTGCGTGCGTCCAAACATACGCCCAAAGACGGCACCAGATCTCTTATATCGTTCAAAAAGCATCTGATTCTCCCGAATTCTCTCGGCCTCGGTCTCGACGCGGATTTTGCGGAGCTGAGCATCGGCATAGGCGGCTCCCTTGGCACTCCGCCGAGTCTCGCTGACGGTGCGCTTGTGCAGCGTCTTGACGAAGCGAGAGATGGTGTGCTCGGGCTCCGTGCCATCAGAGTCCGAATCCGAGTCGAAGTCGAAAAAAGATTTGGGCGTGTCCAGACCCGACGATTTGTTTATTGTCGGCGTCAGCGGCGGTAAAGGAGCCGAACGGGGATGGGTGAGGTCGGCAGTACATGGATAATAACTCCCATGAGAGGTATGAGGTCTCGTGTAATCAGATGGCAGGGGAGAATAGAGGGGCGATGAGAGAGGCGAGAACAGAGATGCTGTGGCGGGAGAGTACAGAGGCGCGGCAGGGGACGTGGACGTGGACATGGGCATGGAATGGAGATGGATGGGTGGTGGACGGTGTCCCTTGCGAAGATTGCCCATACTTGGTCGAGATGAGAGAGTAGAAAAGTGTGGTGGAGGTGGTGGAGGATAGCTTGGTGCTTGAGGCTGAGTACGAGGGAAAAGGCTGTAAGAAGAGCGGACGGCACGAATGGTCCGGCGAGGTTCCGGAGGGCTCCGAGGTTCAGGGTCCTCGGGGTCCTGGACAGGTTGAGGGACTGGCGACTCAGGCATAGTTGCGGGTGGCTGGTTTTGAGTCACAGGGTCCTCGGTGGTGGATGGGGCTGGCGATGGTGAGTGCTGGACCTGAATGTTATACTCGACAGGTCGGGGTGGCAGGGGGTAAGCGTCATAATTGATGCAACCCGTCTTCTTCGCCCTTCGGATATGTGGTGACGGGATCAATGCGGGATACTGGGTCTTGGATTTCTCTGGAGTCTGCTGAGTCTTTCCCTCATCAATAGGCCAGAAGGTGTCCCAAAGCTGAGATGCGGAAGCGTGGTACTGGTAGTCGTCGTCTAGTGATACTTCTGAATCAGTCCGATCATCGATGAGGCTGGGTGCTGAACTGTTGGAGCCTTGCGAGCCCATGGAAGTGCGATCTCTTTTGGTTGGTGTTTCTGGGCTTGCCAGTCCGTGATGGTCGTAGTCTTGAGCAAGATCTTCGGACGAGTACGTTTGGCCGGCTCTTCTATACGGATTGCGGGTTGGAGTGCCGTCGGGTCGCGGGTATGAAAAGTTGGAGTATCCGTAGTACTTGGAAACGAGCTTAAGATGAGCAAGTTTTGTTTGCCGCTCCATACTTGACGGCCGAGATGATGGTCGAGAAGCTATCGTGACGTCGAGCTCCTGTGCGAAACCGATAATGTCCTCTTGAGCGTCAGACATCGCTGCGGTCAGCGTCTGCAACACCGGCTTCGATCAATGCTGGGTGTGAAACTCTGGGGTTAGTAACGCCACGACAGGGACATTGGCCGATGGACTCATGGACGAGGGAGAGGCAACGATATATGCATGGGCCGTCTTGAGCCAAGCGGAGCCAGTCTCCCTGTCATGAACGAATTGTAAGAATGTCTCCTCTGTCACGGCTGGCCCGGCGGCACGAATCATAAGCCTTCCACCCAACGGCGGACAACAACAGGAGCACAAATATGCAGCACCTTGTCTTGGTCTCTTCATACTTGAGGTCTCGTAGTGGGCTCTGGTCCACTCGGGTGGCCGATTATGACAACCAGACCATCCCCTGCAATTCTCAGACATTCCTCGCCTAGAGGCCATCCCTCGTGTGATATGCATACTCAGGGACAGATGAACCTATGGCCAATCAGAGTCCCCGGTGAGACACCGAATGTGGCCCGGTGTGTTGTGGACGATTCGGTGGGCATCGGAAGCTGCATGGCCTCGACGGCTCTCGCAGGAATGGTAGATTGCCTGCTGGCGACTTCCGTCTCGAACGGAATGCATAATGGACAAAAAGGGTATGACCTTGGGTCTCTGCATTACTCGGGTTTGTTAAACGCAATAGCAAACGCGCTCTGCAAAACTCGCGTTGGTGCGTCGTTTACGACAAGTGCAGAGTCTGCCGGCTTGGCTTCCTTGGATAGAGAAATGTTCTCGATTACTCTTCCCGGAGAACTGCTTGATATTAAGAGGGAAAACAAGATTTTCTGTGGCGTCGATAATTCTGCGCAGGGGAGAAAGAAGCAAGGAAAAGTGTACGATCATGCGGGGAAGCCGATCAGAAGAGCCTCAACAACGTCCCCTACATCCAACGACTGCTCATCAACGTCCGTCCGCTGTCTAGAAAACAGGGTCAACGGGGAAAGTCCAGCCTGAACTTCTGCACGCTTGAGTAGCAGCCGAGAGGGTCCTAGTGGAAAAGCAACGCGACAAAAAAAAGATTTCATGTGGGAACCGGACTCCTGGAATGTGTCGACCTCCTCGTTGTCTCGCTTCCACGGCGATAACAAGCTACCCTCCCAGCCGATGGCGCCACATTGAGCCAGGGGATCCTCCTCGGCCTGCGTTTGCTGCAGCAAACTTGCTAGCACCGGCCTAGAATATTCAGCTTCTCTTCCGATTCGACAGATGCTACCAGAAAAGGGGTAATCAGGCCGGCCAAAATTTCACAAGAACTTGACGTAAGCCAGGCCTGAAGGCTTTAGTCTCGTAGGATGGTCTCGCAGCTAAGTATTTCTGAGGATAAGCGAGGCGAGAACCTTGTGTGTCGTTGTACTTTGTCTGGGTTACTGACAAGCCGGTGATCTCGCCAATTTTCGTCCGGAAGAGAGCCACAGAGACAAGTGAATGTCGATTTTTCTGCTTCAGAATCTCACATCCGATCTCGATCTGCCTCTTGGTGGAGATGATTTCTGCTGGGATAGCGCAGCCTTTTTTTCTATTTTGTGACAGCGACTCAGCTGCGGGGCTCACAAGACGTTGATAGCCACAGGCGTGTATGACGGAAACCGCGTTCCCCTGATTCTATTTGTTTGGTGGCAATCTCATTCTGCAGGCCTTTTGTTTTGATACTGCCGTTTCCGACTGACGGCAGGCATGTGGCGTTCCGGGGCAACAACAGCCACCGTGTGACAAGCCGGCTGATGTATGGCTCGATCGATCGGATGGCGGGATAGCGCTTAAACGATAATTCGAGCTGAAGGTGCCTGCCGCCCAAATGGCCTGAATCGTGGCAGACGGGAAAAAGCCTTGACCGCGGCGGGAGTTTCAGCGATTTGCCCTATAGACGTCATGCCGCCTGCCACGCGACTCATATTGTGCAAGCCGCATTTGGTGGTTGATCCCGATGAATGATTGATATCAGACTTTTGAACGATGTGCGTCTGGATGTGATGTAAGGCCCGACTGAGAAGCAAACGGTCGCGCGAATTCAACCGTCAACAGGAAGCAGACACTCTTTTGCGTGGTCTTGGCCCCTGAAAGTTAACATTCGGGAGATCGCCCTCAGCCAAGGATGACAAGTGATTCAGGCCAACGGACAAGTGATGACCCTGGAAAAGAGCTTTCCCATCCAAGATAGGGACTTCTTGATTTTCTCGACCGAGCAATCTGATAGAGGTCTGAGCAGCTGGACGATCGACAGGGGACGAACGCCCCTAGCATACCGATCCCTTTCTCTCAGCTCACATCACAGGCCAGGGATATTTCCATGCTCCGAAGGATTGTGTGCGGGTCGGAGATATGAGCACATGGTAAGAGACATGATGCAAGGGAGGTCGGGAAAAAGTGAGCGACTTTTCCATTTTCCTCAATGGCCTCGGATTTGCAACCCGCGAATGCCGGGTGAAAGTGAAAAGATTCAAGTTCAAGTCAATGTTGCATGGTGCTTTCTTACACCCGGGCATCGTGCGGAGACTTGTCTCGCGATTGAAGCTCTCTACCCTTCTTCCTACGATATGTCGTGATGGCGGCTGAGGGGCAAATTGTATCGCACGAGTCAATCAGGTCGTTGAGCGAGTCAATAAACTTCTTCACGGATGCTTGTGAAGGGATGTGAATCAGGGGAAGACTCCGATTTCGATCTCGATGATGTTGGGTTGCAGACGCGCTAATCAGGGCGGTCGATTGTCGTGAGTTTTGGTGCCGGCGAACTGGCTTGCGTGGAGGTCGGGTCATCCCTGAGACCGACTACGAGCGTCCCCTCGCTCTTGAGCGCGCAACTGATTGACGGCCGTCGCCGGGCAAGGATGCCAAGGTAAGGAAATAGGCGCAAGTTTTTCTTCCTTGTGTACTGATTTTTCGGTCGAGATGGCTCGAGAGTTTAGATGGATATTCTAAAGCAGGTACCCTTGGCTTCAGAGACTTCGAGAGGTTGTGTCAATCAGGGAGAGTGCTTGTGCTGTCGGCAGTTTGGAATAGAGACGCGGAGAAAGGATGGCCCTTGATCTTCGAGTATGGGATGAAATGGTCCAACGCGGAGCGATGGACGTTGACTTTGAGCAGCTCAAGCCTCCAATTCGGAGAACCTAAAATTGCTTCCCACAGGCGTAGGAACTGTTGTAGAGTGAAGAGTCAAAGAAGGATTGGCAATTGGCCCCCAGGTCTAGCAATAATGAATGAAGGCAAGCACCTCACTTGCTTCGGTTCCAGGCCCACGAGGCGGTCGCGAGCTTAATCATGGGGAAGGTCCATTGGGCAGTGTGATTGGGTCCTGCAAAATCAGGGAACAGGGAAAAGTCGTCGGGAGCGACCCGTTCTGTCCCAGTTTGATCGAGTTGATCCCCAGTGCTCCCTTTTCAGCACGGGCCCCCCTTGCTCCTTCCGTCTATGCTGGCAGATGGGCCCAGGCCTCCCCTTCCAGTTCGGACAGGCAAAATGAATACCTACCCACGCTACCATGCCTTACGAGCCTTACCTGAGCGTGCCAATATATAGGGCACCTACCAGGTAAAGTATATACGGTCCGTGCACAGCATCGGGTGAGGTAAGCTTTCACGAGGCGCCTCAAGCTTGAGCTCCCATTGCGGTTGGACTTGAAATGCTCGAGTTCCCTCCCAGCACGCCTTGACTACCATAGCTTTGGGGTAAAGTTCCAACGCTCGGTTGGTGTCAACACCATTTGAAGGCCTTTTTTTCTTCTTTTTTTGATTCCATATCAATGCATTGTCATTGTCCAACGCACTACTTGTGTCAGATGCTAGGCGGCAGAACATTGAGAGAAGGACGAAGCTCGCGCCAACGTAGTTCTCATCACGTACATTCGTTCCCGATCGTCTAGACAATCTGTCGACGAAGAAGCCCGGCCGCTTCTTCAGACCAGACACGTATGCAAAGCAAAGACCTCTATCCGTAGTTTGTTTTGCAATTGCGTGCCTGCAATAGCTTGTCTCGTTCGGATCTAGGCAAATTGTCTTGAGATCAAGTTCTCACGTCCCGATATCATCCAGCCACCCAGTCCACCCCGCACCACCTTGCGAAAGGCAGACATCCTTACCAGTGACCCCCAAGGTCCAGACGGGGCCCTCCCGGGCAAATACCAACTCGTTGGGACTGCTGAAGAAGAGGAGAGGCCGGAAGGCGGGTGATTGACAATCTGTGTGGGTTTCGTCACTCCGCAGTGACAACTCATACTCACCCACACCTCATTTTCACTCTCACTTCACAGCCCACACTCACTCTCTCTCAGTCTCTCTCACGTACTCACTCTTGAAAATAGTTCGCTCTCAGCGTCGTCTTACATGTCTACTTAGATCATGAGCTTCCTAGTCGTCATAGATCACCTCGTCAAATCATCGAGACTGGTGCTGTGGCCACGACCGAGGCCGAGGTCGAGGTCGAGGTCAAGATCAGGATACTTCGTACACCAGATTGGTCGACGCTAGGGCTGATTGGGTCGGTTTCCTGTGTTTCCTCGTCCAAACCGGCCGAACCTACTACGCCCACTTCCTTGCTCATGCTTGCCTAAGGGCCCCAGTATAATGTCGCCCACCACACGTCCCCAGCCCCCCAATTTTCTCGCACTGGCTCTGCTTCTCCGAGATTCCCTGCCACGGCTGATCGGTTACTGGTCAATCCCAGAGGTGAGGCGAGTAGCTCTAATCTCCCATGGCCGCCGTTTCCTTCGTCTCGTCGCACATTGTCTGGCCCATCTTCCCGTCGCTCCGTCCCAATTGGCACCTAATGCCCGACATGTCAGCTCATGTCCGGCAAAGTCTCTTATGGCAGGCGATGTTCCATAATCTCGTTGAGCAGACGGGATGTTCCTGGACCGGGTCACGCGTGGCCGTCAATAACCAGGCGGCCTAGGCTGCACATCCCGCGATCCCATGCGCGTAATGACAACGAAAGTCGGCGGGGAGAGCTATGCACCGGCCAGACTTGAGAAGGCGCCGTTGAGGCACCCCAATCCTGAATGCTGCAGCCATCTTCCAAGCCGGCGCTGCAATAGACGACAGCTCACAGCTCAACGCTCCACCTTGCACGCATCTCAATGTACATGGCCGCCTCTGGCGTTGAAAAGCAGAGACCAGGCGTCAGACCAGTTACCTCCAGACGAGGAGCAACCTGCAAAGAGCTGCAAGTTTGCAATACCTGCACGTCGTGAGTCGACGGATGCTGTAGCTTGGCCGGGGGCGCGTCAGTAGAGGAAATTGGCCCATGCTGTCCACCTGCGGGAGATGCTGTTGGGACTCTGTAGTAGTCGTACACTACGGATACTGTCTGTCCCCCCAGCTCCATGTCGAGATGGTTCGAACCCTGCCTTGCCCGCCGGATGAGAAGCGAAGCTCCGCCATGGTTCGTAATTTGACGCGATGATGGGTTGGGTACGATGCCGGTGCCTTGCCGAAACAATTAAAACCCGTCACCTGTCCCATCCCGTTTTGTGTCCCACGCCTCCGTTCTGCTTCTGCCCTGCTCTTGCGCGACTTGCATCATAGTCATCCTGCCCTCAAACCTGATCGCGCATTCGACCTCGACCATTCGATAGACGCAACAACGACTCATTCACCCACCCATCCAGCCGTCAATGACCTCGACACCCACATCCTGACAGAGGTTGGATGGAGGAGGTGCTGCTTGGTGAGCTGCCATAGGTCCGTGTTGGCCCGAGGTAGCAACAGCAGCAGCAGCCACCAAACAACACTCACTTCCGTCAGCCCAGTCAAGTACGCGCAGCACTGACATTGACTGAGCTGAGCTGGATGCGGTGAATTGGACGAGCACTGCCAGGGCAACCCGAGACAATTGGCGTTGCTATCAAAAAAAATCTGGACGGCCCGAGACCGAGAGATTGGGATTGGGAGCGCGTCTTCCAGGCTTGCTGTCTGGTTGATTTCTGGGCTTGTTTGGCTGGTGGACGTGTCTACCTGGCCTGGCCGTCGCAACCCAACCTGGTCAGCCTCCAGCCTTCCAGCCTCTAGCCTCCAGCAGTCGCATCCAATCGGATTGGATCAACGACCACCTCACCACAGAGAGGAAGACGAGAGAGGGAGAGAGCAAATGGGAGTGAGGTAAGGTACTTCAGCTCCTGGTCCTCTCCTGCCCTTCTCACTTCCAGATTTGTACCTTCCTTTGAAGTGTCCCATGGGATGCTCCACGCTCAACTCGCCTTGGAGTTGAGACTGAAATCCAAAGGAAGGTGCAACTGGGCAAAAAGGCACAACCATCACCGGTCACTGCCCAATTGGCCGCTCCTTCCTTCACTTGAGATTGATTTTCTCACGCCTCACGCCTCACCATCAAAACAAAAACAGCCTGCACAAGAAAAAAGAATCCAACTTCACACGACCTGACCTTTTTTCTCGTCGTCTTTCTTTTTCCCCCACTCATCGTCAGCAGGCCTTCCAACTGGCATAATCTTCTCACACTCACATTTATCCTTACTCCAACCTATTGCTGCCTTTCTCCCTCTCACTCCAACCACCAGAAATCTCACATCCTCATTATCGACAGCGGCCGCCATCTTTGCCATTTTTCAAAAGCTCCCGTCACTGCACGCAGCAGTAGTTCCAACCAATTCAGTTCCAAAACACCGCTCAGCTCATATCAACCACCGGCAGCAGGGAAAGTGGCTCCAATCTCACTCTTATCCGTTCAAATTGCGCTTCTTCCAATCTTTCCGTTTGATTCCGCCCACACTGCCAAAGCGCATCGTCGCCTAGCCACCCTCTTTTTCGAACCACACTCCAACCTCTCGAATTTCTTCACCTCAAACCTCGGGCTAGCACCTTTCGCTCCTTTCCTGACTCCATTCCTTTGGACCCTCAGATTTCTGCCTTCAATTCGTCTCTGCTGAGCAGCAGCATCTTGCTCGTACAGACCGCCTTTGACAATAATTTGGGTGTGGTATCAGAACGCCATCATCAAGATACCACCCTACCTAGTAAGTCGTACCCTGTTCCCTCGGACCTCACCCACTTCCCCCCCTGGTTTCCATGTAACCCGACTTTCGCACAATCCACACCACCTCCGTGTACCTACCTTCCGGTACTTGCTGACTTTCGCTGGATCAGCATTCCCCCAGATCTTCCTCGACGAAACCCACGCTACCTCATACCCCAATCCCGAATCACCACCAAGGTGGTGATTTTTCCAACTTGTCTACTCCAGCAGGTCAGATCAGTGACCTGGGCAACATCGTCAAGTTGACAGACCAAACTCCCCCTACGCCTTCTAACGACCGTCACGAAATTCACGAATTCACGACCCCTTCTGCGCAGCGCCAGCAGCAGCGGAGGCAAGCGCGAAACACTACCCCAGATCCAGCTGAGAGACCGGCCACTCCAGCTTCGTCCCAACTCTCCCACCGCACTCTTCGTCGTACGTCGCGATCCGTTGCAACTCCAAGTCCTACGCCTCAGTCAGCGCGCCAGGTCCACATCGAAGCCGCCTCAGTAGGTTTCAGTCCCAAACCACAGATTGCGACCGCGCCTGCGCCCACGCCAGCACTTGCACCTGCGCCGACATTCAATTACGACTACCCACAAACCGTCGCTCCCCACGACCGACGAAATTCACGTGCGCGAAGAGTTCTCTCACAGGATCTGAGCGAGGACTTTGACGAAGAGTCCTCCGACGAAGCTCTGCTATTCCGAGACCCGACATTATCGTCTTCTCACACCCGACGAGAGTCTCACCGACCTCATCGTGTTTCCAGAAATACTCGCAGTGCCATCCTCTTTGCTCTTGAGGAAGCTCTTCGGCAACCCACTTTGTTCACGCCTGACGAAATCGAAGAAGGCGCATCCATGGCTGACCTAATCGGAGGCGGCACTGCCGCTTCCAACGGTAATGCCTCAGCTTCCTCCCGACAGCGCACTACTGGTGCCCCCAACCCTACCAGTTCGCCTTCTGGAATTCGTGGTCCTAGAATGATCATGCAGGAGCGCGCTGCTAGAGAGGCAGCCCGTCAGAGAGCCGAGCAGGAACAGTTGCAGTTGGAGAGACAGCGAGCCGAGCAGGAAGCTCGCCTATTGGAGGAGACGCAGAAACGGAATGCGGAGCGCCGAGCTGCCACCGCCGCTACTGGCGCTGCCGGAGGGGGAACAGCTGGTGGCGCTGCTAATGTGCCCCAGCAGGACCCCACCTCTCACCGGCGACCCGTAGCAACCGAAACCACACAGACCCGGACCAACCCGGGAGGAAGTTCCCGCCAGCCTACGATATCTCAGCCGCAGACTCGACACGGACGGACGGCGTCGACCTCTCAGCCTGGTCAGCAACCATACAGCACAGCCCCGCAGGCCAGCACCACTCAGCAGCCTGCCAATCCTTCCGCCCAGGGAGTTCAGGAGTCTGGCGCTTCGGGATCGAGACCTAGAAATTCCTTTCCCCACGCGTTTGAGCGTTGGGAAACCTTGTCGGCTCACTGGGAGGGCCTCACTAGCTTCTGGATCAGGCGACTTGAGCAGAACAACCAGGATATCGAGCGTGATCCTGTCAACCAGGCGCTCTCTCGTCAGGTGACTGACCTTACTGCGGCCGGTGCCAACCTTTTCCACGCAGTAGTCGAGCTTCAGCGCCTCCGTGCTAGTTCAGAGCGCAAGTTCCAGCGATGGTTCTTCGAGACCCGAGCTGAGCTGGAGCGCGCTCAGGAGGTCAACGCCATGTTGGAGGCGGCCCTTGAAGAGGAGAGACGTGCTAGAGAAAACGCTGTCCAGGCCGCCATCCAGAAGGAGCGCCAGCACTCAGCCAACGACGAACGTGTCAGAGAGATGAAGAAGGAACTTCAAATCTCCAAGGAGGAGGCTCGCCGTGCCTGGGAGGAGCTCGGTCGCCGCGAGCATGAGGAGCGCGAGCGAACTCAATCTCTGCAGAGCGGTCAGCCTACCATTCTCGGTGGTGTACAGGTCGTCCCAATGACTCAGGGTGTCCCCAGTCGCCACGGCAGCTCTCGTGAGCAGTACAGCGGCCAGCAGACCGGGTACGCTGGCGATTATTCTCAAGCCCCTAGCGGTCAACCCATCCCCGCCAGTTCCGCCAACTTCTACCCATCCGGGGACGCTGGTCAGGAGGGCGTCACTTACACAGGTGCTGGTTCCGAAGGTGGATACTCTGAAGGTGAGTACGCTATCGACGCGCAAGGCCACTTCATTCGCGATTCTCAGGGAAACAAAGTTCCCTTCATTGCTCCACCTTCCCCAGTTTCTGACGAAGGTATAGAAGAGTATGAAACCCCGGCGACAAACCCTCCTAGTGCCGGCTACTTGCAGACCCCTACCACGTCCGCCGGAGATCAACAGCAGCAGGCAGCCACTCAAGACTACTCTGGCTCGGGCTATGCTGCTCCGGGCTGGGAAACCGTCCCTAGACACCATCACCCGACTCGCTTGAGTGATGTCATGGAAGAGGATGAGCGCAGCCGCGCCAGCAACAGTCAAGTTGGCCGACACTAGTGCTCCCCGGCTCGACAGCACTGAGTTGCCGGATCATGGGTCCTCGCAGTGTTTACACGACTCGTATTGCCCCTGAAGAAAATAAGGGTGCCAGAGCTCGTTCTGGAACACGCGCTCTACTCGCTGACATGGTATCACCACGTTCCCTGGCGCATCTCCGCGGGGACGGCTACTCGCTTGCAAGAATATCGCCTCTCGCGAGCGCACATTACATTCATGCCAAAGGAAATGGCACTGGACGAGTATAATAAATTTCTCTGCACGAACATACAATCACAACGGCTTCGACGATCCACGCGTCGTGGGAGCGCCATCGACTAGCCACACTCCGCAGACGTTTCATCGCAGTCTGACTCGTCTTTCATCGTTGGCATGGGATTAGACTGCACCTGTGGCAGATACGGACTGTCCGTCTAGACATTGTTGGAGTTTCTCAAGCGCGACTTGACGACTAATTTTTCTGTTTGGCATCACGCCCTTGGCGACCTTTGCGATAAAAAAGAAACGATTCTGGAAGATGATTTGGCACGGCGATGAACGGTCGGGCATGAAGGGTCAGCATGGCATGGCATGGCATACTTTTTCTTCGTTTTGGCGGCAATCAATCATGAATTTCTTCCGACTTCAACCCAAGACTCCACGAGTGAACGAATCGTCCTTGTCTCCGTCATTCCTGAGTCGCCGACACTTGATAGACTTTTCCTTAGACCAGAAGACTCGCATTCAGCCAAATCGGCGGCAAAATCCTCACGAGGGCTTCAGACTTGAAGGGAGAAAAGGTGATATGCGCGAGAAGGAGGCTTGGGCGAGGACAGTGGGCTTTCAGAGTTGGACGAGGGGCGGGGAGGAGGAGCCCTGTATTTGTAGAAAAGACTCTGAAAGGCTTGTAGGAGATAGTTCATTACATGAAGTACGTGTGGAACGTACGCATAACTAGTATCATCTTCTGGAATGCAAGCATCGTGATGTACGTGGCTGGAGCTCTATGGCCGGCTGACATGTAGATGAGTGCAACTTTGGATGCGTGTTGAGCGGTGGCGGGCCTCCCAACCACGGCAACCAGCCAATTCAGTGTGGCCTGCCTTGGGACAAGACGCATTCCTGAGATCAGGCTGTAGGTTGGCTAGTGAGACAACTCATTTTAGAAGGCGCCCAAACTCCGACACCCCTTGACCACAAGAGAGTGTAGGTGGTGGGTACCAGTGCCTTCCTACGCCAGCAACATCTAGCCGTGCTTCATCTGCATCGTGGTTTTTTTTTTTTTAAGAAACTTCTACTTCATTCACTCCTGATAGGTTAGAGGTGGCCGAGGGGGAGAGAATGCTTTCGCCGTTGACTTGTTGGCCTGGTTCTACTGAGTTGAGTTGTCTGTTCTGTTGCTTTGTGGCTTGTCACGCCGATGTGACCAACCTACTAGTACTCTGCTCAGCTGGATAGGATGGATGGACGTTCTGGTTGGGGCGAGGAGTTGGCAACAGGCTCAGATGGTTTTATCCGTTGAGAGTCGTGTTCATGGATGGTGCCGGGGTCGATTTGCCTTAATTGGAAGGTACCCGGAAAAAGGCGGGAGGTGAGAGGATGTTACGGATAAGCACTTCTTCGTACCCTTACTTTTCTATTTCTTTTGAGAATTCCTCTTCGTTTCCACCTTTTCCGCACCTCTGTCTCGACTGATATATCTCGCCAATTTCTCAATATCTTTCATTACCACTACGTGGACGGTGAATAGCTGCGATTGGGAGTAGGGGGGGGCATGACTTAGCGAAGGATGGTCTTAGGTAACTACTCGTCGCGGGCCTACCTAGAGAAGGGGGAAAGCTGGGTGCCAATTACACCGGTTTGTGGATGTTCAGGTTGCCAATCAAAAAGAAAGCTCCAACCTGGCGCCGAACCTGCTACCGCTGTCGCTATTGCCACTGTTCAGCTGAGCTGAGCTAGACAGGTTGCCTCGTGGTTCGCCTATCGGCGTGGGCGGAAACTACGTCATTCAGCCTACCACAATCTCAGAGGGGTTTAGTCTCATTCTGTCTCATGCGTCGAGTAGGAATTGCGAAGTTGCGATATCCTTTGCACGTTTATATACCAGGTAACCATTCTTCCCGCGCCTTTGAGCTCAAGTCGACACGTCCAAGGTTCACGGTTCCGACACATTACCGTATCAAATTCCATAATCCGACATCGTTGCCAATTGGCATAGACGCTGCAATGTGGGATGCTGCCACCAGGACGGGCTTCGACCCCACGGCGGCTTTGGCGCAACAGCTCTCGGACCTGGCCATTTATGAACAGCCGCTGCCGCCGGCAACGGCAGCGGAAGGTTTTGCTCGCCAGCAAGCCGCGTACACAGCTCCATCTCCAGCTCATAATTCAATCTATGAATCGTACCGTCAGAGATCCACGGCGTATTCCCCCCAGTGCCATTCGGCTTCGACTTGGAATTCGAACAACCATGGGTCTAGTAGTTATGTGTCCACCTCGTTTTCTTTACCGTATTATACGGCTTGGGGCTGGAGTTCCAACAGTCAAGGGACTAAATTCCAAGCGTCGTCGGCGTCCTATATGCAGCAACCTCCGACCTCGTCGCCATGTCAAGACTACAGAGTTGCTGTTTCCCCACACAGATTTTTGCCAGTGCCTAAACTAGAACTCTTCACGGCTGAGCCAAGAACCGAGGCGAGGTTGACGAGTCTCCAGCTTGGCCAAAGCGGTTCTGGTCACACGAGCCGCGGACCAATTGATGTCCTTGGGTCCAATAGCCCCTATACTCCCGGCACTTGGATCCCGCAACACGACTGCGAAGACCATGGGGCTACCATGGGGGCGGGCGGCTCCTTTGCTGGCCCAGCTAAACCCCTATTGCTGGCTTGCCCTTATCTCAAATACGATTCATCGAGGTATAGCCAGAGAAGGGGGTGTCGAGGGGCGGCGTTTGGTACCACGCACCGGTTGAAGTGAGTCAAGGTCCTTCCCGTCGTCTGCTTAACACCCCTATAGACTAGCTTGGCCGAGAATAATACCTTTAACTAACACGAACTTACACGCAGGGAGCATCTGCACAGGACTCACAGACAGAAGCCCAATTGTCCGCGTTGCCGTAGCATCTTCGAAACAGAGACCGAGGTTGGACAACATCTCAAAGGGCAGACTCTGTGCAAAGTCGTCCAAGGCGAAGGTCTTGTCGAGGGGTTCGATGCCGTCCAAGAGAAGCTGCTCAAGAGCAAGAAGCGCAGAAAGGGAGTCGAGACGGAAGAGGACAAGTGGAGGGAGATCTTCAGGATCCTTTTCCCCGATCATAAATATATGCCGGATCCATGTGAGTACTCTGAAATGGCCCTTGGTTGGACGTTGAGCGCGATTGTGGAAAAGAGGAGAGCTCCCGCTGACATTGACCAAAAGTCTTCAAGACGTCTGTCGATGACCAGCATGCGACGGCCCAGCCGTCAAAAAATGAGCAAGACGATGTCGAGAGCATCTTCACCGGGGATATTCCATCACCGGTGGAAGACGAGACCTTTTCAGAGATGGAGGAAGCTGTGGGGGGACGCTTGAGCAAGAAGAAGCGGAGGAAGCTTATGAACGTGTTCAAGGGGTTCGCTGTCAAGATGCTCCGCCAGTCCGCGGAGGGGGACGTTACGAAAAGAGGAATCAAACTTGCCTCGAACCCTAGTGAGGCTGAAAAGGCTGCTGAGACGGTGCATGCAGCCGCGGCTCTGAGCGAGAAGCGACAGCTGGAGAAGGCGGACGAGAAGCCAAACGAGAAGCCAATCGAGAAGCTGGACGGAGCCAACGTGATGCCCGAAGCAACGCAGACCATTGAGCCGTTCGTAGCGCCGGTCACGTCTTTGAGTTCCCCGCCGGCGGAAGCAGCCGAGCAGCGCGCCGTCCATTTCGACTTGCAAAGTTTCGATATCGGCAACGACTCGGATATCGCTTGTTGGCCGGCGTGGGATGCGGCTTTTGCCAATGGTAGCGGGGATAGCTGGTTGGAACACGTGTTGGGTAACGGCACTCCTTTACAAGGACCTGTCGTCGAGGAACTAGACAAGGCGTTGGGAGTTGCGCCTTTGAGTATTGACGGGGATCTGGTACTATTCCAAGACACGCCCAGCGCATGATCGGCGAGGGACGTGACTTTCCAGAAAAAAGGGTTAGGCTGTCTCGTAGCAGGGGACTAGAACAGAGCCAGAGAAGTTTTATGAAAAAGCTTTTCTAATGAATCTCCACCAGAGGATCGATCCCCCGAGGCGTTATTCATCCACAGAACATGCGGGATGCACCAGATTAACTTTCTAAATCGTTCGAGCCTGTACTAGTATGCTTCAACACACATGGAGGAAACAGTCTTTTAATTTGTAATTTATCAACGTATTATTTACATACGATTAAATAAAGTCGAGTTTTTTTAAAACCTGATTTTGAAATTCTTATCAATTCCCTAAATCTATTATTTCGTTCATAACTTATGATCCTGATTTTGATTCTGTACTTAACTACACGGCTTCGCCAAGACGCCGCATCTTCTGCCTTCGCATCTTCTAAAAAAGACGGCATAGAGACGTCACTTTCTAACTAAAGTAGTCCATATAGATAGAGGGCGCCTCGCTCGTTTGTCTCCACCGCCCTGAAGTATTCACTGATTCGCCTTAAAACCGATTCCTTGCCTACTCACCTAGGCGGAAGAGGAGTGGGTTAAAACAGCGGCCCTCATAGTGAGATATTAGTGGCCGCAGTACTCGGCATGCTACTTTATAGTATTTGTGTTCAATTCGAGCGCTGCATTTTTCTTCCTTCTTCCGTCTTCATTGGTTTTTTCTTTTTTTCTCAACCTATAATAAACATACTTGAACACTATAACAAGGCCAGCATCTAAAAATTAGGCTAGATATCTAAATAACCTCTTGAAATTTGAATAATAATTAATATTTTAGTTACATTACGGCCTGTTTATTATTGCTACTATAGTGTGGGACAGGTTAATTGTAATAAGTGTGATTATTGCGTTCGGCCGATGTTTGAACCCGCCCCCCTCCTTCCGCATAGGTATACGGACGTAGTGTTTAAAGAATATAGACACCTCGCGGTGGGAGAATATCGCCACGCTGACAGGACCCGCGATAGCTGAGGCCAGCTTTTTGTAGGCGCAGTTTAGATCAGCAAGGAAAGCCTCTGCTGTGTAGCGTTCGCGTTTTTTAAAAGCCGCCAACTTCAGCTTCACAAGGTTAATGATATCACCCGGATTTATCGTAAACCGAATACCAGGAAGTCCATGCTTTGGTAGTAAGCCTTTTATATCTCGCCGCATAGCAAACCGGTTGTCCTCCTAGAAGGGCTGCCGGTGTCCGAAATGGGAGAATTGCCGAAGAAGTTTATTGACTGCGTCGTCTGTCGTTCTTCTGGTCTCTTATAGCTCCTTCACTGCCGCTTCGAGCCTGGCTGGCTCCAGCGCAAATAGCAGATGCTGACTCTGGACGGACTCCGGTTGTTAGAGCCTGATTATTCTAGTCCGATTGCTCCTAGAACAGACACCCATATTGAAGACAAGGAGAGAAAATACTGGGTTGGCTGAGAATCGGCCGCCGTGCCGCTGAAGGAGAAACCGCGCCCAAGGCTCTATCTCGAGATTTCTGGACGACACCAAGTGTCTTGCTACTTCATTCTGCCCAGCGGGGTCGCTGCTCTTCAGATTCTCTTCAGCCAGACGAGGTCCTCCACCACCACCATCAGGTTCAGGATTCTTTACAGATAACAGTACAGGGAACAAAGTCGGAATAGTCGTCGGGAAAATTGCTAGATCAAACGAATCAGGTAAAAGTGTCGCCTCGTGTCACTCAAACAACTGGTTCGGAGTTAGAGTTGTTGTTTATATTGCCGCCCAGCATATCCATATCTCCACTTGCCGAAAAACCTTCGTCTCTATTATAAGATCCGTCCATCTTACGTACGACGTTGGACAGGTATTGTATTCCGTCTTCTTCTTCTAATCGTAGTCAATCGTCGATATGAAGCGTACCAGTGGCCAAAATTTCCCACACACATTCAACTTCGTCTTCAAAGTCGTCGACATCTACCACCACTCCTGAATGAGGAATAATGTCCCGTTCGTCGTCTTCTCAAAGTGAGGCGAGAAGGTCGGCGATGGCAACAGGGCCTTCTGACTCTAAACCGCGTGCTTCGGCTGGCACTATTGAGGCGGTAAAGACTTTTTCCCACGGACCTCCTTCGGCACACTGGCTTCGGAATCCTCCCGGGTGGCCATTTCCGAGTAATCAATCTCAATGTCGGCGTAAAAAGGTTGCTCTGTTTAAGCCAACCCAATGCCTTGTCGACAGCATGACGGCGAACAGACGCTACCTTCGATACATCCTTCAGCAACGACTTTTCTGGACCTTGCCACGATACGTGAATCTCATCCAACACCTTAACAAGGTGGTGAGGAAACACTTTCGCAACCAAATCGGCCACGTTATGAGGGAGAAAAAAGTGATTGGACCACGGACACATCGAACATAATTGACACCCCCGGGGAGGTTGAACCGGGTGATGAATCCGTAACTGCTGTTTAAGGCAAGCAGGTTTTCCTCGACCACTGTTAAGTCTGCGAGCTCGGGAATTAAAATATTTTCACACCCCAGATGATCGTGAAGCTGGGCAGCCGTAAAAATAATAACCCTGCGAAGCGACCTTGCGCAGTCCGTACAGGCATCAATCTCTCGTCCACTTGGAAAAAACCTCGTACAGGACCGCATCCAAGGACCGTTCTGCCAAGACTTGTGGTATCTGGACAAGGTCTGTATTGCTAAATTTGCGATAGCATAGTCTACAAGTCTCGAGGGGCAGGGTCGAGGAATCAGTAAAAGCCTTGGAAAATAACTGCACGGCATCGACCTCAGTTTCAAGAGAAAGCGGTCTCGCTCACGCGGCATTCTCAGACAACGCCACTTTTGCTGTAAAATCTTCTTCTAGCCGCTGTAGAATATATGGAATGGAATTGGACGGGGCCGTGTTCAATCGCCGCCTCTTATTACATGGAGGTGCGTCCGTATTATCGTGTACCGAAGAGGATCTGAATATGCTAACTACTTAGTAATAAGTAAAAAGTACCCAGACGGGTAAACGTACTGCGACATCTTCAAAGGTCAGTGATTTTGATAAGGCTTAGACCCTTCGAATAGATTAAATACTGATCTGGGTTCTGGCTGTGACTGAGAGAAGGATGTGTCTTTTCTCGGTGCAAGATTTCGTAATATTATAGAGGGAGCGGGAGAGAAGGTCCGCCGCTATTGACCAAACGTAAATCGAAAGGAGAACAGATCATCGTACAAATTTCGACAGCAGAGATAGACGTGGGATAAAGTCTTGAGTGAGCTGGCGGTGAAGGCTGAAGGCTGGGAAAGTCACCGGATGGAACGGAGCCTTGGGGTGTCTACGCGATCCGTTTGAGGTTACTAAGGATGGGAGGCCTAGATAGTAGCGACCAAGCTTTTGAACATAAAAGTTTCAATCCATAGGGATTGCCTCTCCGACGCAATCATTTTTATCAGCCGTAATTCATCATCCTCGCAGCTCATTGAAGTTTCGTTAACATGGAGACTGTGATGTTTTATAAGCCCCTAGCACCTAAACCACGCCCTCTCCCCGCCCGTCCTCCTAATCGTGCACAACCCCCCCTCTCTCCGTACCCATCTATTCCTTCTCACCTTCCTTCCCATCTACCTTCACGACCCTGCCTACCATACCCATTCTAGAAGGAGGTGATATCCACACAATCTATGAACCAAGACACTCGAACCACTAGTCCCCCATCTAGCGGCAGGAAAGTAGAAGATGAAGCAAAGGTGGGAAGCCGTTCAAAGCCAGCAAACTGTAGAGAATGTGAACCTCCCTCCGAGGCTCAGACTGGGGGTGGCTATGATAACAAGGGCGAGAGTCCGACTTACTCTCTGATCAATTCCCAATCGAGTGTCCAACTGTCTGGGCTTTTCCATGGAAGTATTCGATATGCGGCACGCAGCTGTAGCTGATGAATTACCAATCAATAACCTGTATATTTATCTGTTAGGCTCTCTAAGGAGTGTGAGGGACATTGCAGCTGCGCCTTTTAAGTTCCGGCTTCTGTGTAGGCATCACAGCCGGGCTAGTTGGAGTGAGGACAACAATGACTATATGGCAGCCTAGGTAGACCTTTAAGGCCGTGAGGTTTAAGAGCCCCTATCCGGGCTTCTACAGAATTGGGCACTTATTGCAGCGAACGATGTAATGTAAGACGTGATGAGCATTTGATGCTGGGCCCAAATATGTAATGCCTTCAGATTTTGGGTTCTTGGAAACCAGAACTGAAGATACGAATAGTGCTCTTGATATTTCAGTTGTGACGGAATTTATCCATTTTGAGAGTCTAATAGTTGCAAAGACTTCTACAAAATACACGGTTCACAACCCTCTTATTGCGCATTTGCATCCAATACATCCGAACTTGAGAATCGTGAGCGGACACGACCACGATTAACCGGTCCTTCCCGGAGGAAGCTACTCGCAAATGCCATCAGATGTCTGTCACAATTTATTAGTTCAACGGATTCAACCAAATAGCCAAGAGTGACATACGCAGGGGTGGCCAGGATCTGGAAGTTCCTTCTTCGGCGGTGAGCTGGCCAGGGCCATGGAGGCAAAGAGAGTAATGAGAAGAAGCTTGAGCTGCATATTGTTGATAGTCGAAGGGCTAGGCTAGGCTTGGGGGTCCGGCGGTGGTCTAGATGTTGCTGAAGTGAAAGAGACTAACTGGCGTGGTCAAATGGTATAGAGATTCTTGAAGAAACGGGCTCCCAATCCGCTACTTATAATAAGACATCTGCGTATATGCCCGGATTCGGACTATTCGGACCCGTTCGCAACCATGAACTAACTGCTCCCACAATTCATCTTCGTATATGTCCGGATTCGGACTATTCGGACCCCTTCGCAACTATAAACTAACTGCTCCCACAATTCAGAGTTTCAAATCCAAGGACCCACCGGCCGCAGCATCTATCAGAAATGCATGACGGTGTTGAATAAACTTCCGTTGGCTTACTATAGTAACCGAAAGAGGTCTTGCCGAAACCCTAGAAGGAATTTTTTAATTAGTTTAGCATTTCCTCCTGTATATGGATTCAACCTATATCCATGTCTAGACGCCCAGCTTTCTTTTGCCTTTGATCCGCGGACCATTGATCCGCGGAAAAGAAAAAACGTCTTCGGTAATGCCGATACTTATGCCATTGCGGCATTAATAACACCTGGCCATGCTTGCTCTATTCGATTGAGTTGTCAAGCGACTAAAAAAATCGGCACACTTACCTGAGGTACAAACCACGATGCCTAGGTATTTACTGCGGTTGCAGGCCAAAGTAAAACCCCCTTAACATGTATTTATAGAACCTTTTTCGGCTGCTTTAAAAAAAGATCTTAATCTAATCTAATCAAATCGGCTCGTTGTAGAAGTTAAGTTCTCAAAATCTACCAAGTCTTCCATATACGACCATACCTATTAGAAAACTCGGGATCCCGTCCGCTCTCCCATAGATAAACTAATAAGGGCCGGATTAGTAGTTGGGTCGGTGACGACCAGCGAATACCTGGTGTTGTATGTTTTTGACCTTTTGTGAAGCTATCGTGGTCCACTTTGAGGGTGGTTTTGGTGGAGAAGGCCTACCGCTAGTCCACGATGAAGTATACCACAGAAAAGTCTTAGGATGTTTGGCTGTTGCATGAATTCTCACTGTTCCTCCTTACACTGGTTGAAGTTTTCTCGAATGAGGTACTTGGAATGGATGTTCTGGTTCTAATGATAAAGCGCTGCTCAATCTCTCCCGGTTTTTGCCATACGCCGGTAGCCCCACCCCAAACAATTCCTCGGTGGACAAAGTATCTTGAAACGAGTCCACGAAGCAGGCTGTATCCCCTGTGTCTTGGGTCTTGTCACCGCGAGTAGTAATCGAGTAAAGAAACTGGCCCTTAACAAACCTGGTGTTGAAGTCCAGCTTTGATGGCTTGATCACCAAAGTCAACCGGGTGTGCTCGATACTTGACAGGAGTGCCACTTCAGATACCTCGTCCCCGAAATAACATTTCCAAAGCTCGACTCGGCCAAGCGATAGGAATTCATCGGCGAGGTTATGCTGTAGGTCAGCACTAAAAAGCATTATCGCGCCAGCTTCTGCCCCACTACCCTCTTCCACGGTGTCGTGAACGGTTCTGGCCGCTATATACGTGGACCTTCTTGTTGCAGGTTCTGGGATCTGTGATGAGTGTTGAAAGTGCGGTGGAAACGTCATGTATATCCGTCAAGGCAGTGGAGAATGTTGCCTAGCACTGCCGGTCTGACTTGGAGGAACGATTGGAAAAGCATTATGGTCACCCGGCCTCCTTCGATGCATGTGTGCAGCAGACATATCTTGAGAGTATGTGCCAAGATCTCTTTCTTTTGATGTGGATTAGAACGAGATGCTTCAAAACTCAGGCAACGTTAGGGACCAAGTTGGAGCCGGCTTCTGTCTAGTTCAACTACACCGCGAAAGATGCAAAAATGCTGCTCGACTGCTGATCTGCACAGTTCGACCAATCTGATTACACGCACTCGATAATAATTGTCGTATTCTATTATAATCCACGCAGCTCCAGAAACCCGACCGGACCTTTGAATGTGTGGAGAATAAAGTCCTGGTTCACCTGGGGACAGACAAACCTTGTACGGACCCCGTCGAAGCCTCTATGGCAAGGTCATCACAAGGTCATGCATGAATGGTTTGCACAAAGTCTTCATTTCCATTCCCCAGCCTTCGCACGTCTACAGATTAGGAGCAAAGTCTCTGCCGCCCACTCAAAATCCTTCAATGTCAAATAAACCTGACCGCTGATCCTGCACCAGAAGTTGCCTGCGTAGAACTTGATGGGAATGTACGTCTCGTACTCAGCTGGCGTTAGTTCTTGCATCCATTTTGCTATTCCCGGACCCTCTGGTGCGTTGACGTTGAGCTCCGCCAGGGTTAAGGGGAGGCGGACGTTGACGAAGCAGCAGCGCCGAAACAGAGCCGATGAGGTGCCAAGGACTTCTGTGCCGAGCATCTCTGCCATCTGATCGCCACCTTGGCGCGCAATGTCTTCGCAGTATTCGCGGAGCTTTGTCTCTCCGCCGCAGACTTTGGAACGGAATTCGAGCGCCACTGGTATACAGCAGTACGGCGTGTTGTCTGTCGTAGAGATCTTGTTGAACAACCGAGAGAAGTAGTCTCGCGGTTCCATCTTGTCTCGCTCCTCCTTGACCTCGTAACCCCATGATGTGGGCACCGTCGAAGAGATCTTGCGTTGGTTCCGGAATGGTACATATAGGACGGCGCATCCCCTTGGCACCATCAACCATCTTGACTCGGAGATTAATGTTATAGGTCTTTTGATTGACTTTCAGGGATTGACTCAACTTGTAGCAGTTACTGATAAAGAAGTCGGGTCCGACATCACCAAGGTGAGTCAGATCGATGTGGCCGACACCATGAGCCCCGTCGATAAAGCTCAAAATTCCAAGCTCTCTGCAGGTCGCCACTAGTCTCTCGAAGGGGAAACGGGCTCCAGGAAATGTCAGGACTGTGTCGAACATGGCGAGTCTTGGCGTCTTTCCCTGGCTTTTGACTTCATCAACCGCGCACCGAAATCGGTGGAGGATTTCATCATCATTGATTGGATAAGTGATTTCAATTGCGTGTGACGAGAGCGGACGATCCTCTGACAGTGACTGAATAGTCTTCGAGCAGGCACCGTAGATGGTGCCGAAGTGAAGGATTGTATCGCCGTGCTGAAAATCCAAGTTGCGAAGCACAGTGTTGACTCCCGTGGTGGCGTTCTGAATAAGAACAACTTCGCCGGCTTCAGCCCCTAAGAGCGATGCAATGGCTGCTCTACTTTCACCGAGAAGCTTGAGGTAGGTATATCGTATGAACGTGTCTGGTCTTGCTTCGCTCTCATCTTGTAATTGCCTTTGGTAATCCCGGACCTCCCTTGGAAAAGTTCCAAATGAACCATGATTAAGAGGCCGATAACCCTCAGAAAAAGAGAAGCATTCCTCTCGCATCTGGGTTCCAAAGGCTTTTGCTGATGCCGATGACTTTTGGCCTTCAAGAGACACCATCTTGTCGACCTCTCAAATTTGGATGGCTGCTCTCTCTAGTCACTGACTCTTGCTGTGTTCAATTGGGACAGTTAAAACACCACGTCCTCGTTCGTGTTGGGTTGGGAAATGAGCATGGCTAAGCGCGGGGTAAAGATGCGTCTCGTTAAAAGGACCCTTGCAAGTATCACGTGTTTATCTGCACATTGTAGCTGAAAGCAGTCAATAGCTATTCTCCGTTGGTTCCCGTGGAGCCTGCAGCCTCGCGGCTCGTTGTCGTCTTGCCACCCGTTGGATCGAACAAGGCAATCTTCGCTCTGACAAACTTCCCCGCTTCTGTGAGACAGGGTCTGCGCAACGCGAATCTTCGACCATGGATCCTTTGTCGATATCAGCAGGCATCATTGCGATAACGACCGTTGCTGCACAAGTTGCCAACCTCCTTGTTGGTATTCGGGAAGAGTGGGATTCCTTACCCGGCCGCATGCATGCGCTGAGCAATGAAATTCAGGACTTCAACGTCGTTTTGCAGCAAGTTGCCATCGCTGTCAAGGATAGGAGAGTCTCCGGGCTGGATGCCTATGGCGAATTGACGTTGCTTCCTCTACTAACAAGAGGGAACCATGTTTTGATGGACCTCAAAGCTATCCTTGAGCGTCTTCTAGCGACGGGAACGAAGAAAAAGGAGGCCATTTCACGTGTCTTGATGTGGAGGAGAGAGCAGGGCACTATGTCCTCGCTACAGGAGCAGATCAAGCAAGTGAAATCAAGTCTCAACGTCCTTCTGGGGGCATCAAACTCGTAAGTCAGTCCTCGACACCTTTCGGAAGTAAGTCCGAGGATTTATGTGACTGATACCCCCCAGGCAAGATATGATGCATGTTCGTCTCTGTCTAGAAGAGCTCAGCTTGAAGATATCGCATCCGAAGGAGTCGGTCTACCCCAACAAGGATGCACAAGACGATTTTATCCAGGCTCTTCTTAATGAGCATCATGGGACGATGGCAGAGTCGTTAAACAGGTCATATTCCCAAGTCGATGAACGCTTGAACAAGCTTGAGGCACTTCTGCGAAACCAGGCAACAGACATACATACTTCGCAAATCGCTCAGGTGGGTCGGCTCTACAATGCGTCGACACCGCCTGCGAGGAGACGTGTTGTCCGAGCCGTCAGCCCAGCTTCGGCTGCGCGGATCCAAGAAAAGTCTGCGTCTGTCGGGGTTCGTTTACGCCAGGCTCGAACAACCTGTCAGTCAACTTGTCTTTGCTCCTGTCATTCCTCAAAACTCAGAAAGTCACCGTCATTCATGGACCGTATGGTTGGCCAGCTCATGCTAGGTTACAGCGGGCTGCCTCTGCTGAGCACCAAATGCGACTCGGCAGCGTGTATTAAAGGACAGACGCCAGCAGTGAACGTTGAGTACTGGTTTCCACTGGGGGTATGCTGGTCTCAAATCATTCGTCTCCATCTTTCTTACGAAGCGAATGTTGGACCTTCCCTCCAGCTGAGCACCTTGCGACGCGTACCAGACTCCTCGCAGTGTGTGAGCTATGCGCTTGATGGGAACATCGAGGGCCTGAAGAATCTGTTTAGTCAGGGGTTAGCATCACCTCGTGATGTTAGCTCAACGCGAGGATACTCGCTTCTCCGAGTCAGTGCAATTCACTCTTTATCAACTCCTGGCCTTCTGCTAAAAGCATCATCTAGTGGGCGCTATATGGGCAGCAGTACGAGACATGCAAGTTCCTGATGTCTGCAGGGGCAGATCCCTCCTATAAGTACATCATCAACTTGACGAGTCATTGCAGCATTATGAGGATCACACTAATACTGTGAAATTGCAGGCCAATTGCACCAAGTGATGATAGTCCAAGCGACAAAGCTGGGGATGTAATCCTCCGAGGCCATCTCTCGCACGAAGTTATTGAAATCCTTCGACTCGTTGCAGAGGGTAGTGATTTCAACGAACGCCAAAATTTTGCTCGTATCCACAAGATAGTCCTAGGCCTTTGCATTGGTGATTTAGAAGATGAAATACGGCATGACCCAAATTCACTGGATTCCCCAGACGGCACGGGACGGACAGCACTTCAGTGGGCAGCAGCAAGAGGCGACGAACGAGCTGTGCTTACACTCCTCAGCTGGGGTGCTGATCCCAACAACATGGACAAAAAGCTCAATACACCTTTGACTCTGGCTGCTAATCAGAACCAGTCAGTTTGTGTTCGGCTTCTCTTAGAAGCCGGGGCACTAACGGATCCTGAACTGCCACCGGCGGTCAAATTCGGGACACCACTCAACTGCGCCGCCCGTAACGCGCCAGATCCGGTCCTAATGAAGACTTTGCTGGATTTCAACGCAAAAATTGAAGCGAGCGGCGTTGATGGCGTCACTCCACTCTTGCATGTTGCCAGGGGAAATAGCGCCGCTCATGCGATGCTTCTCCTGGAGTATGGCGCAGACATTAACGCAACTTCCAAAGCCGGCCAAACGCCCCTGACGGCAGCCATTCAATACAACAACCACAGCGTTCTGAAGCTTCTTCTCGAGAGGTGGTTCGACTACAACGAGTGCCCGAGACTGAAGGGGCCTAATCTGCTGGAGACAGTCGCTCGATACGCCGACGTCGAAACCATACTTCTTTTAACGGCAGCCGAGCATCTTCGAAGCTATCCTGACAGGACATACATATTGGATCACTACAAGGAAGTTCTCGACGGGCGGATTGATTCATCAGATGAACTCAGCACAGCCTTCGAAGAACTGCTGTCAGTTCTTAAGACGCATACCACAAGCCACAGAAGTATTGATGAGCTCATGGAGTCTGGTCTCTTGAATTCCTTGGAATACGGAATCGAGTCGGAAGAGGATAGCTCCTCTGATCTTCTGGTTTTTGAGGACGCCAAGGAGATTTTGGACATTTCTAGTAATGCGTCAAGTCCCGTCCATACTTCCTGCCCAGTGCACGATCTTGAAAAGAGCCTGGAAGAAACAACAGGAAGATGAGATTGCCATTTGAGTATTGGCAGCCGCTTCAACGGCTTCATCTTCAACATACCTGAATTTAAACTACTCGGAAAATTCACAATGTCTTTATACCGTACGTTTCATTGAAAAACGAGTGGACGTAACTTTCCTCTAACCACACCTCATCAAAACCCTCTGTCCATTTCTTGTTCCGTCCCCAAGCCTGTAAGACGGAACGGTGTATCTAAAGACTTTTGTATAGCAAGCAACTAAGTAGTAAACACAAATGACATTCATAACCCTCACGCAACAACCTCATCAAAGCTCTTGCCCACCAACTTGACAAACACATCCTTATACTTCTCCGCCGTAGCCCTGCAAACATCCTCGGGTAGCGCAACGCCCTCCTTTCCCTTGAGCCCCTGCTCAATCAACCAGTTGCGAATAAACTGCTTATCAAAGCTCTCCTGGTCGCGGCCGACGGCGTACCCCTGCGCGGGCCAGTACCGGCTGCTGTCGGGGGTGAGAACCTCGTCCACGAGCACGACCTCGTCCGTGTCCGGGTCGACGCCGAACTCAAACTTTGTGTCGGCGAGGATGATGCCCCGCTCGGCGGCGTAGTCGCGCGCCGTGGCGTAGAGCTGGAGAGATAGCTGCTCGACGCGCTTGGCGTACTTTTCGCCGACGAGCTTGACGGCGTCGTCGGGGTGGATGTTTTCGTCGTGCTCGCCCTGTTCTGCCTTTGTGGAGGGCGTGTAAAGGGGCGTGGCGAAGGCTTGGGACTGTTGCATGCCTGCGGGCACGGGGATGCCGTGGACGGTGCCCTTTGACTTGTACTCGTTCCAGGCGGAGCCGGTCAGGTAGCCGCGGACTGCGGGGGGTAGGGTACGGTCAATATCAGAGAGAAAGGGAACTCTGCGACTGGGGGATGAAGGTAGGACATACCAATGGCCTCCAGGGGGATGACCTTGAGGCGGCGGACCTGCATGGCGCGGTTCTTGATGAGGGCGGCGTCGGCGGCGGGCAGACCAGCCGGGGGGTCAAGGGTGATGAAGTGGGTCTTCAGGCCGGGGACTCGATCGGTGAGGACCTTGAACCAGTGGGCCTATGTGCCGATGGGCGGTCGTATGAGCAAAAATGACTTCTCACATGATTTGGATTCCGAGGGGATGAAGAGAGGGGGTGAGGAGAGTGATGTGTGTGAGAGAGAGAGAGAGAGTGTGTGTGAATGAGTGAGTGAGAGAGAGCCTTACAGAGGCGTGGGTGAGAATGGCGCCCTTGTCGGGGATGCCGTTCTTCATGACGACATCAAAAGCCGAGACGCGGTCGGAGGCGACGAAGAGGAGCGTTTTATCGTCGACCTCGAAGACATCGCGGACTTTGCCCTGGCCGATCTTCTTGAGGCCGGTGAGGTCGACGGAAGTGACGCTGGCGGTCGCCATTGTGAAGCCGTGTATGAGTGAGTGGTAAGGTTAGGTAGTGTGGGGTGGAGGGGTTGAAATTGTCGGCTTTGGAGGGGTTCTTTGATGGAGGGGCAGCAGTGTCAAGCCGAGCGTAAGCTGTTCTCGCTCAACGAGGGAAAGAGGCACAGGTCTGAAGACGAGGACGGCGTGAGGTTTTCGCCTTGTAAACAGTATAGCCTGGTGCACCTTGGTGAATGGAAGACGAGGATGAGTCAGGGTCGAAGCCGAGTTCGGGATAAAATGGGATCATCAAAGTGAAAAGTCGCGGCGCACCGTCCGTCGGCACGAGCGACGAAAAGCGGCCTGAGAAAAAATTTCCCCTTCGGGTGCACCCGCTCCACTCGTTCACCCATCAATGGCTCGAACTCTAAGGTAAGGTACCTCACTCTATCAGTAACATCTGGCGACAGGACATTGAATCTGGTTCTGGTAGCTGGTGCTTTTTTGTTCCAATTAGGAGCTGTTCATTAAATACTCTGCCCGAACGCCTTACAGAGGGAATGCTTGCTACGAAACCAGCATCTCAGCGTCAATTACATTATTATTTATAATTATCTATGTGTAATGAGAATTAACCTGCCATCAGAGCCGCGCCCACGACGGCAAAGACAGACATTAGTGTCATCACGAAAAACCCATCCGTTTCCGAAGCCACCGCCCCGGGATGTGATGCGGCATTCGGGGATTCGCTCGAAGATGGCGTCGCAAGGCCTGCCGACACAATCGACGTAGCTTTCCCGGCAGCCGCCGTCCCCGTCTCCGTTCCCGTTCCTGTACCCGTACCCGTACCCGCCCTCGTCGGCGTCGGCGTCGGTGCTGGCGTACTAGCCTGGCTAGCCACGCCCGTAGCCGTCGGTAAGGCGGTCTCGCCCACCCGGAGCTCAACGACATTTGACCGGCTCGCGTTTAGGTTCGACTGCGCGATGCCGACCTGGCGGTTGGCCTCGTCGTAGACCACGTACGCGCTCCGCAGGAACGTGTCGCCTAGCAGCGCAAACTCTGTGCTGTTGACGTCAAAGGTGGCGCTGTTTTGGATGCCGAACATGCAGGGCTTCTCAAACGGGGTCAGGCCCTTGAGCTGGTCCATGATGGGGCCCAGGTTGTCCAGAACCATCTCCTCCATCGGGACGCGAATCTTGACGCCGGCGAATTGAAAATCGAAAAAGTGGCCTTGGCCTTCGGCGCCCCCCCACTTGCAGTCGATGAAGCCGTACCCCGCGTCGACGACGTCGTACTTTACCCAGATTGACTTGGCCATTTGCTCTGGTAGGAGACATACCGTAGATCCGGAATCGAGGACGGTCGATGCGTTGAAATTGTCCTCGGCCATCTCGACCGTCTTGCCGTCTGGTGTTTCAATGTCAACCCCGGTCAGAGCTACACTGTAGCTTGTCATGTTACCAGAGTGATAGTCATTGACGAGCGGGAGCGTGGTGAGCGACCCTATGTACTTCTCCGTGTCAATGCCACCGAAAAGCAAGGTCCCTTCAGATGATGAGAGATCATTCTGTGTTTGTCACGATTAGCGGACGTGCCGTGAAGATAAAAGTTGCAGGCCCCTCCCTTACCAGCCAGATACTGAAAGCTTTCCGGCCTATGACACCTTGCGTAACCATGTTGTCGAGAATGGTAGGATACTTGCGTTTAGCCGCCACGGTCTGCGAGAAGCCCAGCCCGATTAGCCCGGTGCCCTTGACCGTCTGAAACGCCAAGCCAAGCTGCTGATCAGTGACGGTCTTCCCATGAATGCTCACGGCATCCTGGATATAGTCTCCCCGGATGTTCTTGCCGTCAAGGTACGTAATGTCGAAGCTGTTGCGGCCGACGACCTTGTAGGTCGAGCTGGCGGTCGAGTTGAAGGTCTCGGTGCAACCCGTCTCGTACAGGCGCTGCAGCTTCGGGCTCGTGCAGAGATCGGCCTGCTTGTCGACGATCCACGTGTCGCTGCTGCCTGTGTCAACGTGCAGCAGTGCCTTCTGTCCTGGCGTGCCGATTTCCACTTCCGAGTAGTACCCGCCGCCGGTGATGTTGTTGAGCGCTGCAAGGGTGAGAGTGTTGTCGCGGCGGGTGATTTGGACCAGGTCCAAGGGTAGCTGGATTTTGTGAAAGCTGGCCGAGACCACCTTTTGTGAGACGGCTTCCGACGCCAGGGCCGCGAGGGCAAACGTCGTGGACAGCTTCATCCCTGTGGTGGGAACGGAAAAGGGGGGGAGCTTCACTTCCTCGAGAGACGGAAACTATCGTCGCCTGCTGTTGGATGCCGGGTCTGCCAGTCCCCCACAAAATGCTTCCTATGCGGAGAAGCTTACCCTGGGAGACGTCGGAATAGGCATTTGAGAACCCGGGGACATGAACCGGTTAGCAAGAGAGGACCTTCAAAACTGAACAAGAAAGAAGAAAGCAGAGAATCTCCGCCGGCCTGTCAAACGGCAACGGCGACGGGATCGCACTCCCTTTTCTGTCACTGGCAGCAGCGGGAGCTCCTTTAGTACAGCCGCAAAAATGGGGAAAGCTGCTTGGAAACACGCCCAGCAGGGCTATCTGGGCCGTTGGAGCTAGACTGCATGTTCCGTTCGGATTTCTTGTGGCGCCACCTTGAGGGCTGCTCTTTTTACGAGGATTTGGGGTTGATAGTCTGGTCGCGCCAGCCCCGAGAAGGTTAGAGAGGCACAGCAGAGTCCCAGACGGGCACGACGGGCTCCTCGGCTCTCTGCTTGGCGAAGGGAACGGAGCCATGGGATATCATGATGGACACGAGGTGGAATGCGTGGTGCTCTCGCAATAAGGGGCTTTTTCACTCTCGTCGCATTCTTTGCAGCCGATTTTCTCGGTATATGACGCGGGAAGCATGCCAATATGGGTGTATGGTAAATGAGATGATGGGAAATGGTTGAAACGTTTGGTGGGAAAGCTGGAGGATCAAAGACAAGTCGCGGCCTGGTTTAACGTCTTGGCGGGTCTGGAACAGCTTAGTCATTCAAGATTCCCGAGGTGAACGATCTCTGGAGGGAGTTTCGACCCCTTGCTTCCAGGACTAAACGTTGCTACTGGTGCCTTACGTCCTGGTAACTTTTCTTTTGTGCGTTGGCTTTGAGCAGTGAACAGACATGTCAGCTGGGACACACAAGCATAGCTGAGAACCGAGTGACGTTGATGCCTCCTGGGGAAAATTATAGAACGATAACATCATCGTCCGTCACCAAAATCAACCGTACAAAGTGATGATTGGAATCATGGGTGACTTTCCACCATCTGTTCAAATCAGTGTGAAATGACGAGGCTAGGTCGCCCTCCTGCCGCGGTGTCGAGCTACAGCCTAGGTACATATCCTAGCTGGGCAACGCAGTATCTCAAACCTACTCAGAAACGCCGGTCCACGCTGTGGCCAAGAATAATCTCATAAATCGTGACGGAGAGCCATCACGTAGCTATGGGCGGGCCCAGATTTCCATCCGGCAAAATGCACTGCACGGTGTTGTGCTCCGCCTCTTTTCTCAGCTTCCGTTCAGCTGCTGCCTCTTTGATCCGGCGCTCCTCGTCGAGCTTCTTATTCGCGTCCACCGCCAGGAGCTTCATCTGGTACTTCACATCTCTAGTGTGGATCGAATACCATCCTTGATGAGGCTTGCAGCGCTTCTTGTCGCAGATATTCTTGTCCTCACCGCTCAGCCGGCTGCCGACGTCGAGGTTGCCATCCTTGAAAACCTCCTTGGCCTCGTCCGACTTGAGCCAATTCGCAAAGGGGCCCACGACGCCCACCTGATCAAGACGGTAGTCGTAGCCGCACGCGGCGTCTTCGAATTGCTTGGACACGATGAGAGACTTTCGCCTGTCGTTGGCCCACTCGAGGAGCTGTAGCATCTTCTGACAGAGGAGGACCTCTTCGCCCAGCTTCTTTCGCTCAGCGGCCGAAACTGTGAGAATATCTTGCTCCTCCTCTGTGAGGTGCGTGAGTGCAGGAGTCTTATTCTTGGCTTCCGGGCTTTCAACTACAACGAGTGATGAGTCAATTTGCAACCAATTAAGACGTTGAGTTCATTTACGTACCTCCAACTTTCTTTGGAGCAAACGGCTTGGTCTGGACCTTCCATCTGCCATCAGACGGGTCGATCCCAGCCAGATCACTAGCCAAGAGACCCATGACTTCCTCCTGAGTGAGCCCGTTCTGTGAAGCATTCTTAGACGAATGCTTCTTGGGCAGGGAGGCGATGTTCTTCTCCCAAAACATGTATGCGTGCTCATCGCTGCAGAACACGCTGCTCTTCTCCTCATCGTCATATAAGCGTGCCGCCTTCATGCAGTTCCTGTAGGAGCACGTCTTCTTGAAGAGGCTGACATTCTTGTCCCCGTCTGTGCAATTCGGGCAGACGAAGCGCTCAATCAGGTTCTCACCGACCTCCTTGCTCATGCCGATGCACTCGCCGTGGAACCAGTCGTCGCACCTGTCGCACGAAATCATGAACCGATGATCATCTGGACCGCGGCATATGCAATACGGTCCGTTATCAGATTCCTCATCGGATCCTCCGGCCAAATCATCCTGCAGATTGGCGGAGGAAGTCGTAGATACAGCGTCGTTGTGCTTCTTGGGCTTGCCGGGTTTGGAGGCTCCACCTTTAGGACGCTTCAGAGCCTTCTTGACCGCGGCGGTTCCCTTCTTCTTCGGACCCATCTTTTGAGATTCCGAGGGCTTCTCGGTTGTTTCTAAAATGGTGTTGATGAGGTTGATGCCGGGTGAATTGGGGCCTTTGATGAGAGATGGTAGAGAATCGGGCTGAGCAGATGGAGCAGTATTTGGCTCCGTTTGTTCGGCTCCTATGTCTTGGGTTGCCGTGGGAGATGTGGTCGGTGCCTGACCGGGCGCGTCTACCATCTCAAGATCCTCATCCTGGTGATCCTCGTTACCCTTCATCTTTGGCTCCACGTCTGGATCCATGCTTTCTAACAGGTGTCCAGCAGCACTGACGACCTAAAAGTAGAACGTGGACCTCGGGTTGGGGCATAAGAACAAAGATGGATATTCAATGAAAAGAAAACTGAAAGGTAAATTTCTTTATTGTGCGACGAAGGGGTGTTGGGGTTCACTGTAGTGAAGTTACGCATTGGGAGTGAAGGCCCAGCATCAAGAAAAGACCCACAACTTTCTCGGTGAAAGGGCAGAAGCTCGGTCAATTATGGTGAAGTGCGCAAACGTGGGGAGGAAAGCCGCATCAATGGTTCTTCCGACCCATGATATTTTGGAAAGTGGTCCAAGCTCACCGAGAGCTTTGGGAGGTCTTACGATTTTTGAATGATGACCTCTCCCAGGATGCCCAGTTGTCCTAGCTCCAATTGTCGATAAAACTTTCAATTACCTCAGCCATGTCGCAAACCACCACAAGGCTTCTCTGGAAGTCCATTTCCTCCCCAGGTTCGACGCAATGCCGGCGATGCATTTCCCAAGCCACATTTCCTAAGCAGACCCGGCCGACTGCTGCTGCGCCGAGCATGCTTCAAGTGAGACCGTCGCCGGCGCAAAGGAGAACAAAGGCATACAAGACTGTGGAGGAGGCAAAGAGCAGATACAGAGCAGGGGTACGATTTCTCCTCGGAGTATTTGGTTCTTGTTGCCGTTGAAAGAGGCTATGCTGACTGGATTTCCAAAACCAGCCCTTCTCATGGAAGGCCGGCGTCCTGTTCGTAGGAACCGGTGTCGGTTTGACGTGGTACTTTGAGACCGAGAAGCAGCGAATGGAGCGCAAGCGCATTGCAGAGGCCACGAAGGGCATGGGCCGCCCTAAGGTTGGAGGAGCGTTTGAGTTGACCGACCAGGACGGCAACAAGTTTACCAGCGAGGATATGAAGGGTCGTTACGCACTGGTTCGTGGAGCCCGATGGCAACTTCATTCTCGGCAAAGAGAAGAGAAGGAGAAGGAAACTGACATTACCTTGCGCTACAGGTCTACTTTGGCTTCACGCACTGCCCCGACATCTGCCCCGACGAGCTCGACAAGATGGCCCAGATGTACGACCTAGTCGAAAAGCAACGGCCCGGCTCCGTTCTCCCACTCTTCATCACCTGCGACCCGGAGCGCGACACCCCCAAGGTGGTCAAGGAGTACCTCTCCGAGTTCCATCCCAAGTTCATCGGCCTGACGGGCACCTACGACGAGATCAAGGCCATGTGCAAGCTGTACCGCGTCTACTTCAGCACGCCCCAGCATGTCAAGCCGGGCCAGGACTACCTCGTCGACCACAGCATATACTTCTACCTGATGGACCCCGAGGGCGACTTTGTCGAGGCGCTGGGGCGACAGCATTCGCCGTCCCAGGCGGCTAAGATTATCCTCGATCATATGAACGACTGGCAAGGAGGGTGGAAGAAGGACTAGCTTGGAAGATTGATGAAATTCGATGTACCAACTTGTGTAATATGTACCATCAGCTGTTCTATGGATAGACCTTTGAGCTATCTCGGCTCCAAGACCACTCAATCGCACTGTAATACCATTGTACGCTTGTCGTGGACAGAACTACTTCGAGGCTTCACCTCATGCACTTGCTACTAGTTGGAGGTTACCGTTTGTTGGTTTTGTTCTTCGACGTGGAGTGGAAGTCTAGCAGTTGCATTTTGGAAACCCTTCTTGGAAGAAGGCATTGTCATGCTATGCCCCTCCATCACTTATGCATATTACACCGGGCCATTGTTCCTTTCCGACTCGCGAACATGGCAAACAGGTTTTCAGAGAAGGACTGAGCCATAGTTCACCCCAAGCTATCAGATGAGCGGCATCTAGCACTGGTTGGTTTCAAGCCGTCGCATTCAATGGAGGCTCAACACGCACCCCACCGCTCTCTGCAAGAGACATGAGGTCGACTTCGCCGTTAAAATTAGCGAGCGGAGGCGCGACAGGGGGGTTACCTCCAACTACAGGGGACCCAGGGATTGAGTTCAGCGTTGACCGTTATCCGTTATCCGTTATCCGTGCGCCGTGCGGTCAACCTGAGCTGCGCGGCGACGTCGACTCATCATCGCTCTTACATCCAAACAACACCACTCCTTTCACGGTATATCATGCGGCATATTGAATTTCGCTGATTTGAGGGATTTCATACACATCATGAGACAGTCGGGCAGGCTTACGGGCCTCGGGCGGCTCTTTTCGAGGCCGCTCACCACTTCCGCCTCACAGGCACCCTTCAGAAGCGCAGCTGCCGGTATCGGGTGTCAAGAGAGAGAGCTTTTGGGGCTAAGAAGGGCTACTTTGCCGTGTACGAGATTATCCGGCGTCAAATCCGTTGGCTCGGAGCGGTGGTACAGTAGCAAAAAGCCGGTTTTCGAGGCGGGCGAAGCTCCGTCGTTTGCATTCGCTTTTGAGTGAGTCAAGTTCGCAGCCTATCCCTCATCAGGGAAGGGGACCACCTCGCCCTGATGCGCGTTTGCATCTCTATAAGGAGACTTATTGGTCCTGGAAGCCAGACCCGCGCCAAATGTTCCACCAAAAACCAAAGAGCTGTAACTAACGAGAACGCAGCATCGACGGCGTTCTGTTGCACGTGGCCAAGCCGATTCCCGGGGCCACCGAATCGCTCCAGTACCTCAATGACAACAACATCCCTTTCATTCTCTTAACTAACGGTGGAGGCAAGCCCGAGGCCGTTCGGGTGAAGGATCTGAGCGATAAGCTCGGGGTCAAGCTCTCGGTGGACAACTTTGTCCAGTCTCACACTCCCTTCCAGGAGCTAGTGCAGGGGCCGGAGGGCTTAGGCGACAAGACCATCTTCCTGACGGGGGCCGATGCGAAGAAGTGTCGAGAGATTGCCAAGTTGTAAGTTCACCCCCCGTGAGCGATTGTACGTTTTGCAGACTCGACACCTACTGACGGTTCCCGGCAAGGTACGGTTTCAAGAACGTGGTGACGCCGGCGGACATCATCCACGCCCACCCCGAAGTCTTCCCCTTTGAGCTGCTGAAGAAGTCAGTCTACGCCGAGACACATGAGCCCTTGCCCAAACCCATCCACGACGGTACCGTAGCGGACGCGGACGCGCTCAAGATCGATGCCATGTTCGTCTTCAACGACCCGCGCGACTGGGCGCTCGACATTCAAATCATCACGGACCTGCTCCTGTCGCGTGACGGCCTGCTGGGGACGTACTCGCCCAAGAACGGGGATGCGTCGCTGCCCAACGGCGGATGGCAGCAGGACGGGCAGCCGCCGCTCATCTTCTCCAACGCGGACCTGTTCTGGTCGACGACGTACCACCAGCCGCGGTTCGGACAGGGGGCGTTCCAGGCGGCGGTGGCGGGGGTATGGAAGGAGGTCACGGGGGGTACGGCGGAGCTGCGGAGGACGGTATTTGGCAAGCCGTTTGCGACGACGTATCAGTACGCGGAGCGCGTGCTCGAAGCCCACCGTCGGGCGCTGCTGGGCAAGAGCGGCGGCGGAGCCGCGCCGCCACCGCCGCTGAAGACGGTGTACATGGTGGGAGACAACCCGGAGAGCGACATCCGGGGTGCGAATGATTACAGCAACGAGGAGACGGAGTGGGCTTCGGTGTTGGTCAAGACGGGGGTTTGGAGCCAGGAGAGGGGCGCGCCCACGCACAAGCCCAAGATGATTGTGGACGATGTCAAGGCGGCGGTTGAGTGGGCGTTGCAGAGGGAGGGACGGTCGACCAAGATTTAGCATGCGTTGGAGCCTTCATTGAAGTTCCGGTTCCAAGGATTGTATCATATCTAGGTAGCTCATCGGTGAATGGGATGGAGTGAGATGTGTAAGTACCAACCACTGGACCGTGTAATACAAGGTGTGGCTGAGTTCGGTCTCGAGAGAGATGGTGTGGCAAGAGTGCGGAAGCAGGATCTGCGATTTAGACCTGAGAACGGTCTTCTCCCAGTGATGTAGCGTCGTGCAAGGTTGAAGGGCGAGATTGGACGGACGATTTTACCACATGGCAATTACCTGCATGGCAATTGGATTCTCCAATTGTCGTTTCGCCCTGTGCTGTCAATTGGGGGGCGACGGTGGTGTCGCCATATACGTCACATGCACGACGCGCGCCATGCCAAAGCAAGGGTCGGGAGCTCCCGACTGGTACAGCAGGGTCCCCTGACGTCACATTTAGTGTATTCTTTGGGGGGGTTGCGTGGCATCGCCATGGAACTGGGCTGAGGAATTTCCCCATGTCGCGCTGAACTTCACAAGTTGGTTTGTTCGCCTGAGGCCTCGTGAGATATTATACAATGGGACAGAGTGCGCCCGAGGTGATTGAGAGCGGATTGGTGTTAGTGCGACGATAACCAAAGAACCCTTGCTCTCTGTCGGACCTGGGAAGCGAAGCTAGGTACCTAACATGTGCAACTGGGCGGGCTGGAAGTCGGTGGAATCCTAAATTTCTGCGGTTGTCGTCGGGTGCGAGAGCAGCGGGACAATGTACGGATACCTGTACGGTCTAAAATGCGCAGTGAAGGGAAACTGGGACCAATCGTATGGTTGGGATATGAAGCGGGCAGGGGTAGCAGGCGTGGGTGCACCTGACCAGCCCAGTCTGTCCTCTCCACCGCCAGGAGCTCTCACCAGTGGTCCCCACGGCTCGGTCAACCAAACTGTCCAACGGGCCCACATCAGGTCTCGGTTGCTGTACAGATGATGCATGGGCAACCTCAGCCTGGACCTCGCACCACACGACTAGTTGCCCTTTTGCTGCGACTGCAATTCGCCTAGTGACCGCTCAACGTGTCGTGTCTTTCCTTTTTGTCTTTTCCCTTCGTCTGAACACCCTCCCTTCCCATCGTCTCCCCGCACGACTCTTGCCATTCTCGTCTTAATATTCTTCCATTCTGTAAACTCTACTCTCCCGGAGTCACTCCAAGCCAACGCAGCCCCCACAACCCCTCACAGGCACAGTTGGGGTCCTATCATCGTCTCTGCCTGTCCCACGATAACCCCTCCGTGTCTTTTGCGCCGGGCCTGATAAGAACTTTCAGCACTCCGTACCTTGCCTAGGTATCGTGGGATTCTCTGGCCCCCCTCCCCCGTACCAACCTGAGCTGTAATCCCAAACTGTCACCTCTCGCCTCCCCAAAAGAGGATAACCTCGATTCTTCACCGACGCGTACCCTGCATCTCACGCGAGCAAAATTCCCTGTCTCCATACTGCCGCCAACCAGCACCACTGCGCCGTGCTCTCATAAAGTCGTGGCCGCCCACCCTTGTGCCTGTCGCCAAGATGTCTTCCTCGTCGCCCCAGATCACTGGACAGCAGCCCTTGCGGTCAGCCATGAAGACGGACGAAGATTGCGCATCCAACCCCGGTAAAGGTCAGTCCAAACGTCTGGCTTCGCCCATCTAGACCCTACCTATCTATAGTCTGCAGGCGCGGCATCCGCATCAAGTGTTATCGTGTCATCTCGACGACCATGGGAGAAAGAGAGATCGGGCACATTTGGCAGCCGAGCCGCGATAGCGACTTGTTCCTATGCCTGTCTGCCCCGCGTCACACAGTGACACTTTGCTGCATGTCGTCGCATCATACTTCATACAGACACGGCTTGATGGACCGGTATCGTCGCTGGGCTTGTGACTTGCAAAAAAAGATGCCTGATGTGCTAACCCCTTCGCAGTTGTCCAAATCGCTGAGCCAGAGGCTGACGCTGCCGCTCCACCTCCAACTGCCCCTCTTCCTGAGCATTCGGCCCATCACAAGAGGCAGTACGCCGCCAACATGGCCAAGAGGCTGACAGGTCGCATGGGCCTTACCAGCTCCTCCTCCTCTCGCTCTTCCCCAGTCATGGAGCCGTCGCCTGGCCCGTCTTTTGACGATGTCGCCGCTGCTGCCGCGGCTCAACCGTCCCACCATCATCATCGCCACGGCCACAAGCATTACTACGAGAGTCAGAAGCTGCTTGCCCAGCTCAACGACTGGTTGGAGCATGAAAAGAAGAAGAAAGCTACCCGCAAGAGCAAGACATCACCCCGACGCCGCTCACCACAGTCAAAGGTCAAGAAGGAACGATCTTCGGCGGCGCCAGAGACGGCGGAGCCAACAGCCCAGCCCGCCGCTCCCCGTTCACGCTCCGACTCCATTGATTCTGACTCTAGCGATGTTTCGTTTGATAGGCTGCAGAGGATCATCGAGGACAGCATGGCTTCCATGGGCATCAACTCGGTTCCTCAAATGAGCCCCAAGGTCGGTAGGCGCCCCTCTCTTCGCCACAAGAAGTCGTTGTCGCGTAGCATGCTGCTAAGGACGGCGAGCTCTGATACCGACTACATTGGCGATGACGTTGTTGTACCAACTTGCGACGCTATTCTCGATAACTCAAAGACTCTGAGCTATAGTGGCGGTGGCAAAAGCACCGATGACCTGACCCTTGGTGGCCAGGTAGACGAAAAGGAAAAGGCCTGGGAAACTTTCAAGAACGAAATCGTGCGTCTGGCCCATACTCTGAGGATCAAAGGATGGAGAAGAGTTCCCCTTGATAGTGGCAACAACGTCTTGGTGCAACGCCTTAGCGGAGCCTTGACCAACGCCGTCTACGTCGTCTCACCCCCCGAGGATCTCGAGGAAGTGCCCGGCAAGAAGCCCCCGCCAAAGTTGCTGCTGCGGATCTATGGACTCGAAGCCCTCATCGATCGTGAGAATGAACTCAGCGTGCTCCGACGACTTGCACGGAAGAAAATTGGCCCAAGACTTCTCGGTTGCTTCACCAACGGCCGTTTCGAGGAGTACTTCAACTCCATCACCCTCACCCCCAACGACCTACGCGATCCCGATACCTCCAAGCAAATTGCCAAGCGTATGCGGGAGCTGCACTTTGGCATCGACGTCTTAGAAAAGGAGAAGGACGAGGGCCCGGCGGTGCTGAAGAACTGGGATGCTTGGCTCGGTAACGTTGAGAAGAAGATCTGTGCTCTTGATGAAGGTGTCCGGAATGGTAACTGCGTCTTCCGCGACCGCGGCTACGTTTGCGGCGTGGAATGGAAGCAGTTCAAAGAGCTTTACGATAAGTATCGCGAGTTGGCTCTCAGCGCCTACAAAGGCCACTCCATCCGCGAGCGCCTCGTCTTTGCCCACAACGACGTAAGTGAAATGGTCATTCCTCCCATATAAAATCGATCACTACTGATAGGCGGCATCAGACCCAATACGGCAACATTCTTCGCATGCGCCCCGAAGACGAAAAGTCACCCCTTCTGAAGCCGGCAAACGAGCACAAGCAACTCGTCGTCATCGACTTTGAGTACGCGTCCGCCAACGTCCCCGGCCTCGAATTCGCCAACCATTTCACTGAGTGGTCCTACAATTACCACCACGAGACCCTACCATTTGTCTGCAACACGGTCGTCTACCCAACCATCCAGGAACAGCGCCGCTTCCTCAAGGCCTACGTCGAGCACCGCCCGCAATACACCCACGGGGGCGGCTCCACACCCCGCCTCACACCCGCCGACGGCAGCACCACCCCGGCCCTTCTCCCGACGAGCTCGTCGAGCTCCATTATCGAGTTCATGCTGGACGCCCGCGTGCCGCCCAATCACTGGAAGGAGGAGGAGCGCCGCGCAGAGGAGGCCGTCGAGGCTGAGGTCAAGGAGTTGTACGAGGAGACGCGCCTGTGGCGCGGCATCAACAGCGCGCAGTGGGTCGCATGGGGCGTCGTCCAGGCTAAAGTGCCCGGCTTCGAGTCCCAGGAGGAGATTGAGCGGAAGGAGAAGCAGGCGCAGAACAAGGCCGCCGCCGCCGCTGGTAGCGCCGAAGCCAAGGCCGAGGTCCAGGCAGCGGCTGAGGAGGAGGATGAGGGCGACGAGTACGATTACTTGGGGTATGCCCAGGAGCGTGCCTTCTTCTTCTTGGGAGATTGCGTGCTCATGGGTATCGTCAAGAAGGAGGAGCTGCCGGAGGATGTGCAGAGCCGGCTCAAGATTGTGGATTACTGAGGATACATGAGAGATGGTTGCTGAGACTCGCCACTTTCTCTTTTTTTTTTTTTTTTGCAAATACCTTGCCAAATATACCAACATTAAAAGCGCATTCTAGTCATGCAGTTTGTTTTTAATTATAATAGGCATTTTGTATTTCTTGAGCCATCAAGGAAGAGTGCTCGCACGTGTTGTGTTGGTAACTACCTCATGCAGCCCGCTCCTTGTCCCTCTCGTCCTCTACGACGTAGCAAGCACTTGGCAAATAGTACCGCCGTCACCGTGCCCAAAGCCCCTCAGTTCATCTTGTTATACCGCTCCCTTGCCCTATCCTGCACCGTATTGACGTACTCCGCATAACTGTTCGTGGTCTTGCGCTGCGCAAGCTCCGCCGCGTCGCCCAGGTTTCCGCCCTCGGCGCCGAGGCCGACGCCCTCCTGGTACGCGTGCGTGGCAATCACCTCTGTGCGGCCGTCGCCGTTGGCACCGAGGCCCTGTCCCGTGTTCCAGCCCATCTTGGCCAACATCCCCGCACCCTTGGACTGCGGAGGCGGCGGCGACGGCGGCGTCTTCTCCTTTGGGGCCCCCGCCGGACGGGTGGGCGCCTTGTCATCTTTGCGCGCCGACTTGTCACCGCCTTGAATGGGGACCTTGGGTTTCGCGGGTTGGTTAAAGACTTCCCTTCGCTCCTTGGCGCGGTCTCGGTACTGCGGCGCAGCTTCTTCGTTCGTCGCCGCTACCGCTGGCTGTTCTTCGGCTTGTTTCGCCATCCGCTTGTCACGTGCAGCTAGTCGCGGCTTGGCTGCCTTGACCTTTTCCTCGTCTGCTGTGGCATTCTTGTGATTTCTCGACTTCTCGTGCGTGTTGAGATCATCTAGGGATTTGTACTTCATCATACAGATCAAGCAGCAGATCTTTTCGCGGTCCACGTAAGATACTGTTGCTTCTGTCGTGGATGTCTTGTCGGGACCGCCAGCCCCTGGCAAAGGCGAGGATGTAGTAGGGACCGATGCTGCCGCCGGGACAGGGGATTTTGGCAGACTCGCGCCGGTTAGAGAGATCTTGATAGGGCCAGTAGGAATTGCGTTCGGGCCAGACAAAGATATCTTTACCGGCGCGCGCCCCTCAGACTGGCTATCTTCACCGGCAGCATCAGCGGCTCGTTTGCCCTCGTGTATTTCGACATGCCGCTTCTGCCAGAACGCCATTTGTCCAGCCATCGGCACCGACTTCTTGGTTGAAGAGGCGGGCAGATTTCCGTCTGCCTTGCGCTTTTTGCCCTTCTTTGCCTCTTCGGTAGCGTCTGCTTTGCTTCCATCCCTAGAGGTACTGCCCGGAGCTACCTCGGTGATCACTCTCTGGCTAGGATAAACGTGGGGTTCCCAGTACTTGACCCGAATAGTCGGGTTGAACAGCGGGTTGAACGAGACGCGCTCGTTAGTAGCAGTCACTTCCCGGAGTTCTGGCACGAAGACGCCAAGGTGGATAGTCGAAACTGTGACGGGTTTCGATGCAATGGTGAATTCGCGCATCATTTTAAACTTTTGCATCGCCGCCAATGCATCTTCCACAGTCCAGAACTCAGCGAATCCAAAGTTGAACGACTCGTTCGTGTCTTGATCACGTATCAAGAATGTGCGGTGGAGCGAGCCTGGCCTTGCGCCGTAGCCAGACGCGTCGCCAGTCGGTGCCGTGGACTTGAGCTTTGGCCCGTCGCCAGAGTTCTTTGCCGATGCTTGCTTTTGAACAAGTTCAAGTTTTGCGGCACCGGCCGAGAACACATCCTCATTAACGGAGGGTGCCAAGGGAAAGAACACCAAGATTTGGGAAGGCGTATCGGCCGCATCACTCTCACCAGTCAACAGATACCGGTATTGGGACGGATCTGGTCGAGTCAGTGTGGGTCTCGCACTATGTAGCAATGGCTGTCCAATCTACACACCTGTGGGTGAACCGCCGCAATTTTTGCAGCGGCTCCTCGTCGCATAGTTTGAAAAGTCGCAAGTCGGACAGCTCCAATTGGCGGCAGGTCCAGCGCGGCTTTCTCGCTCGGCATCATCGCGGTTCCTTGCGTAGTGGATGTAGATGAGGGTCACCCCATCCGTGTCACCATCCGGTCCGCCATCAAAGAAGTTGATAACAAGCTTGGGGTAGTTTCCTTTGACGAATTCGACCGCTTGCTCGACACTCTCGAACTGCGCGAAAGCACGACGCTTACCTAGCGCGGATGTGAGCAAGTGGAGAGGAGTGGATTGGGGTTCATGGGGCCCATATCACTTACCTCGCCCAGCCGAGGGGATGCGGACATCAACAGATGGATATCGCGATAGATCGGACTGCTGGAAGAGACATTCTCGCACCGTTTCCAGAGGCACGTCGGACGGCAAGCCTTCAAGGATCACAGTATCACTCGGAGCACCAGCTTGTCGAAGAGGCGATGCAGAACGATCGCGACGAGGATGGCGACCTGGGCTGCCACCTGGAGAGGTGGAAAAATGATGAAGATCCTCGTCAGGACCACGTCGGGCATCATCGCGGCGAGGGCCATCGTCGTAGTAAGGGCGAGAGTAGCCCCGGCCACTTCGATCGTAATGACGTGATCCGCGGTCGTCGCCGTCATGTGGGTGAAGTACCGCAGCGTCTTCATCACGGCGATCCATATAGTCATCCCGACCACTGCCTTGATCTCCCGATCTAGAACGTGGCTCGTAGGCCTCACGCGGCGGTCCATGGTAGTAGCGGTCGTAGTCTCTGGCGCGATATTCCGCTGTCTCACGGTCCCAATTCCGGTCCCGATCCCAGTCGCGGTCACGACGGCGGGTGTCCTCAGCGGCGTCGTTATCGTCGTCGTAGGACAGCTCGAGGTTATTCCTGGGGGGAGACCTAGAAGAGTCTCGTCGTCCCGTGGGGAAGTTAGCAGAAGCTCAAACCAGCCAGATGTACTGCAGATGGTCATGTCCTCCGCAGGCTCAGCTTAGTCTCTTTACCCTGCCGCGTCCGAAAGCCGTCGTTGTCTGGATACTGTTGTTGATCTCGTAGAGGGGATCTTCGTCGCTCGTGCGGTCCCCTCTCGCGCGCGCGATTGTTGTCCTCGTACATGGTCGCGGATCGCAGGAAGGGGTGTGTCCCGTCTAATGCGCGCTGATTCGGGTGTGGACTGAGTTGAGTTTTTTGGTCCGGAAAGAAGCAGAAGATGAGGGAGGAAAGGAGTAAGGCGCGGCGCCGCCCTTCGTAAGGCGAACGAGGAGACCGTGCCTAACGCTTCAACCCGGTATTGGTGGAACGAGAGTGGTCGGCAGGCCTCAGCAATGGGCGAGGACGGGAATGGAGAAGGGATGGTCCACAGGCTGGGACCGGCAGAAGCTCAACCCTGGCATATTTGTGGTCAATCCAAGTTACGGCTGCCTTTGATGCTCCTGCACCTTATCTCTTGCTTAGTCAAGCGGGGTTGTTGATAAGGTGGTTGTGGCCCTGGTCCGCGCCCCCTCATCGTTGTACCTTGTATCTATCCACCACGTCCCTCCTCACGTTCATCTCTCTACCATCATTGAGGTAATTCCAATCCAAGGTCGTCAAGCATACGAGTGCAACGTTTGCATTCAAAAGAAGCCTGCTAGTCTCTGAAAGAAACCTGCGTCGAAACTAACACAAAATATGCAGCAGTGTTGGCCAAAGCGCTTCAACTTTGGAAAAGATCGTTGTCATCTCTAAGACTTATACGGCCTCAACCCCCACTATCTTGTTTTGTCACCAACAGCTTTTCAAAAGACCAGAGACTTCTTCAGCCCCTCAATTCCTCACCCAAAACGCTCATAACAGACATGGGCAGCCCAGATCCAGGACCATGGGAGGTCTCTGAGGGTTCCTGTTTTGTTGCTCTCACCTACGATCTTCTCGACGCCGCATCTATCATGAATCGAGTTCGCTCACCACAAGCAGGAGCCATCGTCCTCTTCTCCGGCACGACACGCGACACATTTGGCGAAAAGCCTGTTAAGGAGCTGCAGTACAGCGCCTACACACCGCTCGCCCTGCGCACCATGATGTCAATCGCCAAGGCCTTGCTCGAGAAGCACGGGTTGAAAGGCGTCGCAATGATACACCGGCTAGGGACGGTCCCCATCGGCGAAGAGAGCATCCTGATTGCGGTATCTTCGCCACACAGGCAGGCGGCATGGAGGGCTGGCGAGGAGGCTTTGGAGGAGTGCAAGGCCAAGGTCGAGGTATGGAAGCGGGAGGAGTTCCACGGCGAGGAGGGCGTGTGGAGAGCAAATCGAGATGGAATTGCCGGGCAGAAGGAGATTTCAGGGGAACAGAATCTCTCAGCAAGCACGATTTCAAATCAAACAAAGTGATTCAGCACGCAAGACCAGATTCCTCTCGGTACGGGCATCGCCTTGATACAGACTGCAGAACCCTTTTCACTTGTGTTCTGGGACACATCGAAACCCTACGATGAGGCTGATTGGGCAAGGTCGGCTGAAGTCCAACAGCAGTTCGTCCATTTTCTAATTATGCGTAGTCCTAGTGCTCTCCGCTACCATATGCTACTCATACTTGCCGTCACAACCAAGGAATGGTGGCGGAGGAAGGGTCTGTTGAGCTGCCTGCTCGAAGCCAGAAAGCCATCGAGCAGACTGGCGAGCCAAAATTTTCAGCTTCGCAACTGGATGACTTGGCAAGAGACAGGACCATCATCTTGATCGTCAATTTTCACCGCACCTCCAAGCTTCAGCGGCCGTCTTTGCTGTTGATCTTGTAAGTTTTCCCCTGGCTGATGCTGGTGTTGAAGCGGTGATAACTGGAGCTGAAGAGCGCTTGAGGTCCGGCTGCCTCAACTAGAAGGGCTGGGTAGTGCGGTATGGCGACATCCGAGACCGTGCCAGATAGAAACTCGACATTGATCCCACTTTTATTGAAGAAAAGCGGCTATAAGTCGCCAGCTAGCCTGAGCTTCACTCGAACACAGACAAGCTTGGAGGCGGATCCGCCCTTCTTAATTCAAAGCGCATCTTGACAGTGGTTCACCGAGAGATATTGAGACGCTCTGGTATCCTCTGAATACTTTCCCTTCGTGGGCATCTTTATCTGCATACGTCTAGGAGTCCTACGGCGACAAACCGTCTATGCATCCAGCTTCAGACGATCCAGCATCGTATCGATCTTTCCAAGCAGGATCTGGTAATTGATCGCGTCTGAAGCGAATTCATCTTCAGCCACCTCTCCACCCAGAGTCTTGACACCGTCTCCGGTTCCACCGTTCTCAACAGGAACCGCAGCAGTAGCGGAGGCAGCTTCCTGGGAGACAGCGAAGGTCTCACGCTTCTCCTCATTCTGCAGTTCGCTCTGTGCTGCAATCGCTTCGGCCATTTCCGCGCTGATCTCCCCCTCTTCGTCCATCATCTCCTCAAGGTTGGCATCTTCAAACCGCAGACGGAATCGCTCGCCTAGGTAGTACCGGATATCGTCTAGCAACTCAATGGTGTCCGTCTCCTCGCGATTCTTGAGCCTATCTGCACTTTCCTTGATCAGCTCCGCAAACTCCGCCTCGTCAATGTAGTCCTCTAATCGGTTGGCCAGGTACCGAGCAGCGAACTCCTCCAGACGCTGAACACGAAGATCCCATGCCGCGTGAATCACGTCGTAGATGTTGATGGGCTCCATCTCCTCTTCCTGTTGTTCCTCTCCGTCGGGTCTGTGGGTACGGTCAGCCCAGATGTTGCTAGTACCGCTTCCCAAGGTACTGATGGCCTGTGCTGCTTTCGTCTTGAGCTTGTCGAGGAAGAGGATGTCGGCCGTGTATAGCAGGTCCAAGGCGAGCTCAAGTGGGCAGTCCACCTTTTCTGTGTACAGGAACGTAAGCACGATCTCGAGCACCTCGGGCATACAGTCCACCGTGACGACATGTAGGGTTTCCGAGTCCTGCGCCTCCCTAAATTCGCTGGAGAACATGGTCTCAAAGTAAGGGCTGCGGATGAGCATCGCCTTGTGAACAGGGTAAACCACAGACTTCCGAGGTCGTTTCTTTGGCTTATCGCCGTTGGTCGCAAGCCCGAGCGGGATCCCGACGGCATGTACGACATTTTCAGAATCTTCCGCATCATTCTCGATCTCGCCGCTTTCCGGTTCGTGTGCACAGAGGAGACAATCGGCGAAGATCGAGTTGTCGTGACGCCATTTCACTTCCCCCACCCTCTTCGTCTCTACGATCATCTTGTGACCCAGGACTTTCTCCCGATAGAACCGATCCACCTGAGCCTGCGCCCGCTTCACCTCGTCCTCATATCTTTGGCGTGCGAGACGTCGGTCGTTGCCCGCCAGGATTGCCTCCCATAGCTGTTCGATCTCAAGCTGCTTGCTAAGCTTATCAACACCAGTGAGGACCTCTTCTTCCGTTACGGTACTGCGAGCATTGACCACATCCCTGGGTACTTCTCCAAGATACAGATAGCGGAGGGCAACTTGAAACGACTCGAGCGGGTACGTGGTCGGAAGCTTCCATGTTGCGGTATCAGGTGTGCCATCTAATTTCTTCCTGAAGTACGGCGTCCGCGCTGCCAGGAGAAACTTGTGCATGTTGAAGGACTGCGCTGCCGCAATGAGGCTGATATCAGTTGTCTTTGGAACGGCCTTTGAGAGTAGACTGGTGATGTGTCCGGCCCAAGGCTGGAGCGGGTCTGTAGATTTGGAATAATCATACTCCAATAACAAATTTCGTATCCTGTCGTTGAGGGCATTGTAGATGCAGCGTTCTCCTTGAAACGTGTTCCTTTCGGCCAATGCGCCTTTTACTTCAGTCAGTCAAGGAACCTTGGTGAATATCAACTGATTAACCCACCTGACTCTAGAAGTAGCTGTACGAGTTCCAGATGCCCACATAAACTAGCCTTGAAATCACTTGTCAGTGAGGCCTCAGCCAATGTCCCGTGGCCGTACACTCACAACAATCAATGGCGTGTAGTCGAAACGGTCTTTACCATTGATATTTACGCCTGCCGAGATCAATTCTTGACACGTTTTAAGGTCGCCTCTTCTGCAGGCTAGCAGGAACGCTTCGAACTCAGTCGACTGATCCAAAGGGTTGTCCTCTCTCAGCACGCCATTCGCAATCAACTCATGCTCATTCTTGAGCTGTACTTCTAATTCATCTTTCCGGAGGACCATGATGACGACCTCGATGAGCAATGCGGGATTTCTATAGCCTGGAAGTCTAAGCAAGTGAAAAGAGGAAGGAAATACATCAAACAAGTGAGAACGTCAAGTTCGCCTCCATGTCCGAGGAACTGAAGATCTCAGTGAGAATGAAGTCCGATAAGTCCATGAGGTCGCCTCTGCACGGGCCACATGGGACCTTCCTTACGTGACGGCTTCTTGCACATCATCAGTGCCCCACCATTGAACCCCTCCAGGGCCAAGCGGATGTTCTTATCGATAAGAGGAACCCACTCTGTCAGCTGGAGCTGGATTATCTCAGCTCCGTCACTAGCGTCGTTGCCATGGCATCGGCCCCCAAGTTGTTTACCGAGCTCCATCCTGTTAGTCCCATGCAACCAAGTTCACAGCTTTGACTTGCAGTGCACCTTTCCCGGTCAACCACCACTGACAGCTCTGATACTAACATAGCAGGTTCGCGATCGTCGCCTTTCTTTGCCTCTCAAGTTCTATGGATACACACAAAGATTTCCTTTAATCAAATTCATTGCGCGTTGAATCCAAGATGTCTTTAGAGGCGGACAAGTATGAGGTGCTGGAGAAAATCGGTAGGCACGCCCATTCACGAGCTTTTCACATTGCGACAGACCAAGGATTTCTTGACTAACCAATGCATTCAACAGGCCATGGTTCCTTTGGAATCATCCGAAAGGTTCGGAGAAAGGCGGACAGCCTCGTCATGTGCCGAAAGGAAATCAGCTACCTCAAGATGTCGCAAAAGGAGCGCGAGCAGCTCCACGCCGAATTCCAGATCCTCTCAACCCTCCGCCATCAGAACATCGTCGGCTACTACCACCGCGAACACTTGAAATCGACTCAAGACCTTCACCTCTACATGGAGTATTGTGGCAATGGCGATCTCGGCCGGGTCATTAGAGATTTGGCTGTGAAGGGCCAACGCGCGCAAGAGTCCTTCGTGTGGAGCATTTTCTCGCAGCTGGTTACTGCGCTCTACAGATGCCATTATGGCATTGATCCTCCCGAGGTTGGCAGCAATGTTCTGGGCCTCTTCAGTACCGCATCCAAGCCCAAGACGCCCCCAGGCACCATGACTATTCTGCATCGCGATCTCAAGCCGGAGAATGGTATACTTCTTCGCTCCATCAATCAATGCCGTTTTGACTAATCGAAAATAGTGTTTCTAGGAGAGGATAACTCCGTCAAGCTTGGTGACTTTGGCCTGTCAAAGATGATTCAGTCCCATGACTTCGCTTCCACGTACGTCGGCACACCATTCTACATGTCACCCGAAATCTGCGCCGCCGAGAAATACACGCTCAAGTCGGATATCTGGTCACTGGGCTGCATCATTTACGAGCTCTGCACGCGCGAACCCCCCTTCAACGCCAAGTCGCATTTCCAGCTTGTTCAAAAGATCAAGGAGGGCAAGGTTTCACCCCTGCCCAGCTGCTACTCCAGCGAACTCATGGGCACCATCAAGGACTGCCTGAGAGTCAACCCCGACCACCGCCCAGACACTGCACAGCTCCTTAACCTCCCAGTTGTGCGATTGATGCGAAAGGAGAGAGAAGTCGTTGAGCTCAACAAGGTTGTCCAAAAGAAGGAAGATTCGCTGGTCCGCCGCGAGAAGGAGTTGGACGAGAGGATTGTCTCATTCGAGTCTGACAAGGCTTCTGTCAGACAAGAGGTTGACAGCTCGCTGCGGAGAGAGTGGGAGGTCAAGGCTCGTCTCGAGATCGATCGACAAATCAACTCAGAAATTGAGGCCCTCCGGAAGCGATTCGAGAGCGAAGTGCAGTCTCGCGTCGACGCAGAACTGCAGAAGAAGGTGATAGCCTTGGCTGCTGAGCCCACACACGCACTCGACCTTGCAACGTCGCAGACAAAGTCTGACTACCCGCGGTCGTCCGTTGGTAACGGCAGCGGAGACGAGGAGCTATCATCCTGCACCGACCTCACCGATATCTCTTCGGACAGCCCCTTCACGAGCAAGAAAGCTACTCGAACCCCCTACAGCCGAGCCCAGACCATGTTCGTTGGAGGTCAGGGCACCCCCATGGATATTGAGATGGCGTCTCCCTCACCCATCGCCATCGCTTCACTTTCATTGTCACCTCGACGACATGCCGGTACCCAAGTCCCCAAACTTAACAGCGGGAGCCTTTTCTCAGGCAATGCCACGTCTTCTGGCGACCCGATGTGGGATCTGCCTCGTGACACCATCAGCATTGACTCTGACGATGAGGACATTGTTCCCTCCCCAACTCGCAACATCAAGTCGAAGCATAACCCTTTCACGTCCAAGAATCGTCCGGTGTTGACATCTCAAAAATCCGTTCCCATTACTCGAGTCAAGCCCCAAAGTTCGGCGACTGGCTTGAACCAGAACAAGACACTGCCCTCGCTGCCCAACATGGCTTCGAACCCCGATCTCAGCCGCGGTCTCCGCGAGCGCTGCCAGTCACCTAACCGCCGATTGAGTAAGATTCCCTCGGCGACGAACTTGTCGGCAGCAAACGGCAGTGAGTCTCCCGGCGGTCTTTCCCGCAAGAACTCTACCAAGAAGGATCAGGAACCCCTTGGTAAGGTTGCGGCGAAGAACAACATCAAGGGAAGAACGTTGGTCGAGCTTCAGCAGGCCCGAGCAGGAGGTCGTCCACTCTCTGCTGTCATGTCTGGTGGCGAGAACATGAGCCCTAAGAGGGCATTCAAGGATCGCATCGCGGACCGCCGGGCTAGTGGCGGCGAGCCTGCCGCGGTGTGGGATCCCGAGCGGGACGAGATGCCCAGTCCGTTCCTGATCAGACGTAAGCCCATGGCCCGCGTCTGAGATCCTTTCTTTTCAGTTGGCATACAAGAGCGTTGGGTGGCGAAGATACCATAGCATGCACCCGGGTCATTCATTGGTTGTTATTGTCATTGCACATTTTTCACTCTCCTTTGTTCTGGCGGCACCGAAAAAAGTTGGAGGGCATCTTCCGATGGAGATAATTGTGTGTGTGTTTATACACCGCAATCCTGAGTCCCGGTGATGATCTGACGGGACTCTTGACTTTCACACTTATGAAGATGGTTTTCGGAGGTGTTGGATTTGGATGGAATTGGTGTTGCCGGACTCGGCTGGGGTTTCATTTTCAATGCAGACGTTGCCATGGCGTTTGGAAGATTGTTTTGTTGGCTACTTGTACATATTGCATAAGGGCTGGGGTTGCAGGTGTAGTTTTATCACGGACGAGACAATATCCATCTTCTCAATGTATGTCTTGAATTACCCATGTGATGACGATGCGAACTCCTGTGTCACCAACCTCGTTGTATCAGACACGGCATGCACGTCGAACTTGCTCGCGCGTCAATAGTTGCCAACATGAGCGGCACGTCGATGGAAATACTTACTGCAACTGTATGGGGTTCCCATGGCATCCAAGCACGCTGTGCCGGTACGGTCTCGTTTCACACAGGAAGAAGTTCAAGACATCCGGGGTTGGCCAGGGCGCCAGAACGGCCAGCCATATCACATTCGCTCAAGACAATTCACATTCCAGATCGCTTCGAGATCCTACGCCATGTTGTCTCCTTGACTCGTAATCGAGGCTCAGTCCAGTTCTAAGCGAGACTGAGAGCCCGAGACACCAAACGGCGAAATAGCAAGAAGTATTGACAATGTTTGCTTTTCGTAGTCGTTGTAAGCCCTTGGTAAGCATGCCGTCTCTGAGACCCCCCCCTGGACAATAGCGTTGAGTTTATTACAACTCACCTGGAACGGACCGTCTATCTCATCGTTCATGATGATCTCATGACACTCGATGACAAAGGAAATTTTGTTTCAATGAGATGTCCGTGATGTGATAGAGGGATTGGGGGGGGAGTTGCCCGAGTGCCGGGTCTTTACCGGCCTGCATGTCTCAGAGACACCGGTCCGCATCCGCATAAGCGTGCGTTCTTCTTGCTGGCCAGAGTGTCCCACGCCGCTGTGAGGAGGATCAGTAGGGGTTATGTGATATGTGAGGGGGCCACGCCGCTACGAGGAGAGGGGGGCAGGAGGAGGGACACGGGGGTCCACGCTTGAGTACGTTTGCTGATCATCGATGCGCGGCCATCATGGCGCTGAGACAGACATGATGAGCGACATACGTGATTGCGGGCATTTGCTGCATTAGCTCACCACTTGTTCTGTCGACGACAGGTGGGACGACACATAGGCACGCACACACTCCCTGCTGCTGCTGGCCGATATCATCATCATCCACTACTGCTGGCTCTACGAGTGGTTTGGGGGAGGCTTCCGGATCTAGAGACGTGCTTTTACATTTCCGAATACCCTCTCTTCCCATCCCGCGCGCTTGTGGTTTTTTTTTTCCCCCGCGGGAACATGATATCGGGACACCAGTTGAACCCGGGTTCTGGCCGTGTATGGTTCGTTCATCAGCTCATGACGCTTGCGCCAGTGCGAGTTAGGCTTGGTGATTTCTTTATATATTTGCTTTTTCCATCTTCGCTTATTGCCTTTCCCCTAGCCACCCCCCTCTCCCCCCCCTTCCTTGAGCCCCCATCAACTCGGCGACCTGCGTGAGACCCCCAGCTACCATCTTGCATACCGGGGAACCGAGAATCATGAAAGCACCGGGCACAGAGAGATCCCGTCTGCGGGAGAGACGCAGCTTTTTGGGGGATTGGAAAAGCCCCGAAAGAAGAAATAGTGCCTCTCCGCACGTCAGCGCAAGCAGGACGAAGGGGGCGGGCGGGGGAAAGGCTCAGCGGGCGAGCAGGCTTGCTCTTTCTCTCACTGTCTCCTGCCGCGTTGTAAACGAGTTGAGACATTGAACATTGAGAAGGGCAAAGCTAACGAGGTGGTTGTCCAACTTGGAATAGTGCTCCGATGAATGATACCTCAATAATTCAGGGTCAGACAAGGGGGGTTTGCATAGTGCTTGCTTTGCTTTCAAAAACAAGGCTACTGTTTTCGGAGGGGCAACTACCAGATTTATCACATCGTCGTGATCACGATGGGGCGAGATCTAGATGAGCACGACTGTGTCGTATCTCGTTCCTCGGACTTTGGAGATTAGGTTTCTGGGGGGTAGAGAGAAACGGGCTTGGTATCTTCGTGTGTCTTAGATGATAAGAACTAACGAGTGCTGTCCACATGAGCTGATGAGCAAGGGGAACGACGACATTCCGTTGCCCCTGTTGCGGCCAACGATAGCCGTCCTGGCGCCTTAGGAAGGACCAAACCCCGTCATCGAAAGAAGAGTGAGCTAGGCTTGAAGCGTTCTACGTTGAACGTAGGGTTCAGGCGAAGAAGGGATTAGCCCTTCCAAACGCGTTGTCTCAAGCCACGCGAAGCGACGACGGCTTCTAGTCGAGACTTTTGAGCTTCGAGGGCCAGCCACAACGGCAGCTAGAACACCCGCGCCCACGAGGGAGCGGGTTGGTCCCGTCTTCGCTTCGTGGTCGAGAGACATCCTGCGGAAGCCCATGCACATCTTGCTTGGCTATTCCCATCCAACCCCATGATCGCTGCCTGTCTCGCTCGCAGAGGCAGAGAGAAAGAGAGAAAGAGAGAGAGAGTGTGTGTGAGGGAGTGAGTAAGAGAGACAATGTCCAGCAGGCTATGAACCAACAACCCCGGACGGCCTCCGCTCTAGTCGAGACATTTCAGTGTCTCTCCGGGTGAGAAGATGTTTCTTTTCCCCCGGATGGCCCTACCGAGAACAGAAGTGACGTCCGCGTTGCGGGATCGCCAAAACGTCCGTTTCCTGGGTCTTGCAAGCTGCATCATGCAGCTCGCATGCAGCCTGCACTTGCAGGGCACGGAGCACCGCGGGAAGCAAACAATATTTTGAGAGTTTGCATGTACGAGTACATCGCGATAGGGCATTCGGGAGAGCATCACTCGCCCTTTGTTGCTTCTCCCTCTGCTGCTTTCTGATCCTCCAGGGGAGTGTCATCTCTCATCCGGTCTGAGAGCTGGACCGGACTGGGTGGTTGGCCGCCAACATTGACTGCTGGACTTGGCCGCTGGCTCGGACTGAACCCCAGAGTGGATGCCCATATGCATACATTCCCACGTCTAAGGACCGGGATAAACGCGCGCAGCAGCCAAAGGGAGAGCAAGGACGAGCGACAAAAGACAAGCGTGACAAGCAGGCCCGTGATGCACTGCGCAGGGGACACGTAGAGTCAAGGGGAACCCGCAGCCGCGTAGCCGCTTCCTACGACGAAAGCTCGGAGCGCTGTATGACCCCTTTCCGGGTCGATCTTTCAATGTCTGGCCGCGGCCGCCGCCAGGCAAAGAGGCGCGTCTGCGGCGCAGCGGCGCGGGAAGGGGAGAGAACTTCCAACGTTGACCACTCATGGGACGGACGGGGCTCGACAGACGACCAAAGGATCGCCACCAACCGTAGGCGTGCATGGTGAGGGAATCACACCTCTTTGCTTTGCCTCAGCATGGGGGGCGAGCAGTCTAATCTCGGGCCGCGTTACGGTTTCCGGTCAATAGTTGTACGTTTGCCCTCCTCTTTTCGGAGGAATGGGAGACGTTGGAGGACGACAACGCGAGAAGCAATGAACCAGCGGGCGCAGAACGTTGGGCCTGGAATTCCCACCGACAACCATCCAGCCCACCCTCCGTCCGCCCGCTATCCGCCGTTGACGGGATATGAATGCCCAGTCTTGTTGGCCGGTTCACCTTGGTGGTGCTGCTGCTTCCGTACCGCTTCGGCTTGTTGCCGTGTGGCTGCTGACTATTGGAACGTATGGAAATGCCACCACACACAGACACACATACACACGCACACACACAAACGCCTTACATCTCCTGCCAATCACTCCCTACATCGCCAGCCCTGTAAACGTTGCCATGACACCAAGGCTTCTAGACTCCAGGTTCGAAGCCCAGAGTCATTGATTGTGGCGCCTGCGGCCGCGGTAATTGGAGCCATGTAAGGGCATTGCAACGGGATCTTTTGGCAAGCTAGCCTTCTTCAAAGACTTGCCTTGCTTGCGAGCTGGGGGAGTGACGGAGAGGATGATGCTGACGAGATAGACAGGAAGAGAAAGAGAGAGGTCTTTGCCTCCTTGGCCCCCACCCCCCCAAGTTGAACGAGGCCCCCTTCCTCTAAAAGACCGAGCCAGTTGGAGGCAGGGCATGTAGGCAAAACAGGCAGGCAAGTAAAAGTGGATGAGGCTATATCCTGCGAATACCGCCGCCGGCAGTGAGACTTGTGACTGGAAAAGGCCATTGGGCCGAACCAAGACGAGGTCAAGGATCCTCTTTACGACGAAGGTTTGCGAGCACGATCGTACTTGTGGGCTGTCACATTTATTTCTTTTGCTACTGGCCCTACAGGCCTGCAGATGACTGCAAATGACTGGTAGGAAGGTAAAAGGTAAAAGGTTGGAAGGTTAACACGGCACGGCTCTCTCGCGTGTCTGCGTGTGGTGGATTCTCTACTTCACCGCTGCATATCACGAGCCTCTGCGGAGTATCCAGCGACACTACGCACCCCTCCCTCTGTGCGTATTCATCGCCAACGGGTGTCTCGTCCTGAGTAATTTTGACTCCTGGGCTAACGACTAGAGTCTCGTCCTGAAGCATTCCAGCGGAGTTATCATCGTTTAAGGCATGGCCGAGCCGGTAGAGAAGGAGGAGCCGAGCAGCAGCGATATAGGAGAATCAACGTGGATGCGTAATGGCATGTCTGCAGGAGGAGAGTGAAAAGAGGCGGGGACCGGAACAATGGTGATTGACGTGCTGGTACTCTTCCGACAGACCCATGGCCATGCGTTGGTGATCACCCAGTGATCTCTGGTACGGCAGCCACGGAGCGCATATGCGGCGTATTCCATACGGATACTTCCATTTTGCCCCATTCCTTTCCCCCCAAGGCCACAGGAGGTGGTGTCAAGGATCTTCACTGAGATGGGGGGCCAAATGCCTAGGTGAAAAGGGGGTCTCCTGCGGAGTTGACGTTCTCCTGCTCCTTTGGCCACTGGAAATCATGCCATATTACCTGTGCCAAGCGGGAATGAATGGTAATGACCTGTAGAAGGTAAGCTCGACCGTTGGGATGCCACGATGCCTGGATGCTTAGTGGGTGCCGATGGAGGGTACTCGGGGAGCCCACGGGAGATCTCGAGGCGTGAGCCGGTGAGGTCGGCCAACGGGGACGCGTTATCCTCAATATACGAAAGGGGGGAGGGGGCGGTTTGAACGCTAGGCCGGTCGAGATTTGGCTGAGAGGGTTGAGCGGGACAGAGTTGATGTGAGTACGCATGGTTCCTACTGGGCTTACGACGAGGAGGTTCATCTATCTGCTGGAATGAAGGTTGGAAGAAGGGCTCAAAGGATGCTGATCGTCACTTGTTTCGTTCTTGGAAGAAGAAGAGTTTCCGCAACTTCCAGGAAATATCCGAACATCCACCCCCCCCCCCCTTCTTCACTGAGTGGACGAGTGGACTCTGTACATAATATGACAGCATGCGCGGTGGACGGCAGGCTCCAGGCTGTTGGATCCGCTCGTCAGGTTGTGTTCAACCAGGAGCCCAGGACCATGGCAGCCCTTTGTTCCCTCGGAGGGTTTTTGTCACCGCGATGTATCTCGCCGTTCCCACCCACTGAACATGCTCATCTCCCCTCGTCGAATATTGAGTTTCCTCGGTATTATGCCTTCGGGGAATCGGGAAGGCGCCTGCGATTTGCAAGATCCTGGGAAATGATCCTCTGAATCGCGGACCTCAGCAGTTCGCAGCTGGCCCCCCCCCCCCCCCCCCGCCGCCCCGCCCGACGGGTCGGCCGTGGAGGGCACTGGCGCGGGCGGCGGGTGGGCGGCCGTAGCATGCTCAGCGCGGTTCTGCGATAGGTTTGGTGCGGGGCGGCGGCGCGTCTCTGTGCGGCCCCCCTGCCCCCCCCCACCAGCCCCACGATTTTCGATACGGATGCAAGCACAGCCTCGATGCCTCTCCTTGCCAGGGTGTATGGAGAGAGGGGGAGCGGCAGCACCAGCAGACGCCGAATCAAGGTCGAGCTCGACTCGGGGTCCTCCCGTTTTGTGTCATGAACCTGCCTTGCGTCTCCTCTTCCTTTTCTCGGTCAATAGTTGTGATCGTATTTGCAGTGGATTGTTGTAGTCGGTACGTATCATCGACGCAACGTTTCTGCGAGCCCATAAACGGTCACGGAAAACGTGTCTCTGCTGGGATCACCCCTTTCTTCAAAATTCCCAGCGGCGACGGAGGGGAAGGGATCATGGATGGGATCTGTGGACATGTTTTTTTTTCTGGATATACATCCACCGAAGCTAAGGTTAGTCCCTGCGAATAGAGAATCCACCGAGGCAGATACGTTGAGAGTTCGTACTGGGAGTTTGTCCCTCTTGGGATCGATCTTTTCCTGCTCGCCCGTGAAACCATTTGACATGCGACTCCAATTTTTTACCCAATGTTTGGCGGTGACCAAGATGCCTTGTTCCCAGTTGCCAGGAAGGAGGGCCCCAGAGGCTCGGTACTGACGGAGCCTCGCCCGCGATGAACGACGTCAAGGTAATTATCAAGGACGGTGATCGGTGGAACTTGGGACCCCAGTGCCGTGTAACGTCAAGCACACCGATGAGAGGCGGCATCAGGGGGTGCGTTTTGCTTTTGCTTTTTGAGGGGGATGGACAGGCCAAGAGGGCAGGGGGGGGAAAAGACCCAAGACCACGATGCAGTTGTCGATTTGGGAATAGTTTGAGGGGGGCCGGTCCCAGTATGCATGCTCTTCTGCTTTTGTCTCGAAGAGATGCCTTTTTCCCACTCGGAGCCGGCTTTTTGTCAGCAAGGACCATTGAGCAATATCCGGAACTCGCCCGACAACTCGGGACAGGCAGGCTCGTGCTGGTGCTTTTTGCTGGGTGCTGGTGCTCGTCGAATGTGCCCTGCTTCGCATATTGTCCCCTCTCGATATTGCATGGGACGGTCATGAGCCGCCCTTTCTTGCAAGCTGCATGTTCCCGTCTCAGCCCTCGGACATTGACTCTTGGGTCGATCCAACAGCTCCGAGGCATGTCACATGCAAAGACGCAGGTTGCTCGTGAGCTGCGAGCCGTTGCGAGCCGCTGGCACAGAGTCGCAATATTGATATACACCGGATGCCCCGTTCGCCGGACGAAAAGCCCATTCCTGATATTGTTATGGCTCTTTTTCCTGTCTTGTGTCAGGCAGCTGTCAAAAAAAGCAAATCGGAACGCCGGTGTAGGTACTCTTTTCGACCCTTAGTCAGAGACCGATATAGGAACCACATGCAGGGGTCCGGGGAGTGATCTAGCAGCAAAGGGCTCATTTGAACAGAGGCAGGGAAGATCCTCTTCTTAAGCCATGTGGCTTGCGAGTCATCAACGTTCCAACTCCTCTTAATTGTCGTATTGCGTTTCCCCGCAAGGCCCGCTTGCGGCCGACTCGTCGAGATGAGGCAGGGCCTCTGCTATGTGGCTTTGCATGTTTGTCGGACGCGGATTACGGATACATTTGGGGGAATTCGTAGGTAGTCGATTATTGGCAGCAGATGGGAAAAAAGGTGCTTTTGGTGATATTGCACAGCGCAGAGGGCGGCAAGGGCAGTGTGGAAGTCCGTCCGTCTCCCCGAGCCTGTGAGCGACCATCAGACTTTACCGGCGGAGAGATACTGATATTTCTCTTGGGTTATGTAGCTGGACCAACCAGCTATCTTCATTGACAGGCAAACAATACCGTACTTTGCCGTATGTAATGAGGACAAGTGCCCCAGATTCACTGATCGCGCGCCTTGGGTTAGGCACTCTTGTGCCCGGCCGATGCGGCAAACTTCACCGGCAGCAGCAGCAGCAGCAGCAATGCCCCCGAGTTGCAGAGACCGAGGTGCGGGATATCACAGCTGGAAACCGATCCATGAGGCCATGGTGACATCCGAGCTAAGCTCGCAGCGTGCTCCCTGCCCTCTTCCGGCTTGCGCGTTGAGCGGGATGGGGAAGAGCCCATCCAAAGAGTGATTGACCAGCATGCCGGGGTCCGTCCGGTGGTCTTGGGTTGCACTGCAGGCTACCCGACAACCATCTTGCATCTGTGTATGTCGGCGGGCTGCTGCTGCTCACTCGCTTGGTGACCGTGGGCTTTTTCCTTTTGGGGGAGGGCCGGGAACGAGGACGGCGTAGAAAGCACATGGGCGATGAAGCCTCGAGCTTTTGGTAATGGGCGCACCACCGTTCGACGTAAGGGTTGGTTGCAGATGGACGATACAAGCGCGTCCGTGCCATTTGCTGGCTTTTCCATCAATCCCAGCAACGGCATTCCTCGGGAGAAGCATGTGCTGGTGGTCATCGACGTGGCTTTCATTGCATCTCGCTGCATCCTTCAGCCGCCCGTCCACCCCCCCCCCTTCCCCCATCCCGTTCATCGGCAGCATGGAAGGAAGCAGGACCCCCATCTCGTTCTCGGGTCGAGATCCCTCCCCATGGGTGAACCGGCATGGCAGAATAGAGACTCGACATGCTGTGACGGAGATTTGAACGCGTACAGCCATTATAAAATGGAAATCAAAAGCCAACAGACACACTGGGGGCGGGAAAACCTCGACAATGAACCATTGTCGTTGGCGTTGCAGGGGCCGCGAGACAATCTGTCCAAGAAAAAGCAAAATAAACAACGAGAAACATCATTGGACATCGCATCCCGGACATGGTCCAGATTGGGCAATCTCATCGCATTGACAGGTTTGCTGGGCGATATTAATAGAAATTTCCCAGTAAAAAAAACAATCCAGACTTCTGAATCGTTCACTCTACAGCGCCCGTCGGCGACGTGGTAAGAAGGGCAAAAGAAGAACATTGTAGTTGGGTGAAATGATGGCGGTTTCAAAAACATAACTCTGTCAGGGCGAGGTTATCCTGCGTCCGGAAGAAGAGACAACATGTCGTTGACGGGAATGTTTGTCCACCAAGCGACGTTAGAGGATGGGCGGCTAGTAGGTAGGGGGGGGGGAGGGCGGCGGCGCTCATCGAGGTGTGTGTCTGTGTGTCACTGGGCTACCGAGGTGTGGCTGATGCATTCTGTTTCCCAAACCCAAAAGAGGAGGGCCCCCCAGAGCTCAGTGGCAAGGCGGAAGCATGGGGAGAAGACGAACGGCCTGAGTCAGGCCATGATGACGCCTCAAGGCATCGAGTGAGAGTTAAGACCAGACGGCGGAAGGATAAGAAAACGGTAGAGAGAGAGAGTGACAGGTCCGCAGCGCCCCATCCCGGCCCTACTTTGACGTCCGGATGGACGATCCTCGAAGGGCAAGGTACGAGTACGAATATGGACAGGGGCATTTGTAGTTCTCGACTGACCTAGGAACCTGGAAAGGAGGAGAAAAGCCATGGATCTGAGAGTGCAGTCCCGTGGTGGAGAGAAGAGACAGAGAGACAGAGAGGGGCAAATGCAAACATTCAGAAATGGCAACTGGGTTGGATAGTCAACCGGCGGGACAGAGTGAGCACAACGCGGGTTCCAAAAGACGGCGATAGTTTGATAGACCGGCGGGATGGGCAGCAAAAGCCCAGTCGACAAATGATCTTGATCCAGCCCTCTCAACAAAGGGTCCTTTTTTTTTTTTCCTTGTTAGCTTAGCGCGAATAGGTAAAGAACGGGTTTCCGGGTATCCAAGAAGCAGGCCAGCCTATTCGACCACGATTCTTCAATGTTCATCTAGGACGCTTTCAGAAGAGGTTGCATCTCTTCGCGTGGTGGTTCTTCTTGGGGTCGTCCAGTGAAGAAGGCGTGTGCTGGCAGGGCAGGGGGAATCCTGGTTGATCGTCGCGGAGGCTGGAGATCACAGGATTGTCCCGTGGGCCTCTGCTTTTTCTGATTCTATCCGTACCAAGGCCCCCCGGGGTCTTCTTCACACCCCTTGAAGCCCGGCCGTGTGCGTAGGGAACTTTCGGGAGGATTGGTGAGAGGCGTCCAATGGGATGACCGGCCGGGGAGGGAAGGGAGGGAAGGGAGGGAAGGGGGGGCATGTTAATGAAGCAAGGTAGTTAGCCTACCTTGCTACGGTTCATTCTGTCAATGTTCATGTCGGTTCATATTAGGATCAATCAAAATTGGATTCGGGAGACCGCAGGCTTGCAGTAGAATACAGGAAAACCAAGCTACAGTTTCCGTAGTCAGAAGTTTATGTGCCTTTGTGAGGGCGGCGGTTCAATTCCTCCAAAATCTCTCAGACTAAGGAACGCCGTAGACTATGTCCGGCCGCCACAGCTGTAGCCGAAACTCTCGGTTAGTCGTCTTTTCCGTCCACACAATCTGACGCTTCTTTTGGGGCTGAAGCGAGATCTAATCGAGATTGTCCGCGTCAGTCGCAGGAGGCACTAGCCTGGCTGTGTTATTCAGTTGCGAGAATTGAATTACCAAATCTCATTTTCAATGCTGCCATGGGCGGAAACCTTTGCCCTCAGGGCTTACTGTTGGTAATTAGGAGCTGGCTCCGATTCCGAATTGCTAATAGAACCGTACCCAGCGGCCAACTTTCTTGGGGGGCACTACCTACATTGACAGGCAGCAAGCTCTGGCCTGTGCTTATTTTCTTCTTCGCTCCGTCTTCAGCCTATCTTGTTCTTCCCCCACCCCTGGAGATCCCAATAGAGTCGAAGGACTGGCTAGGTAGGGTAGCCAGGGGTGGTTTATCGTTCCACAGATGTTCTAGGGGCCCAGCCAAAGGAGGCAAGCTGCGTTGGTCGAACATTGGAAGGGGAGAGTCTCGACTTTGAAGAACAGAAAAGGATTTACGAGGCCAGACCGGGCCACAAAAGTAGAATAAACTAGAGCCTCTTGCTATTGAAGACACATTTCTCATGGTCTCCAACATGTCTTGCTAAGTTCGTTTGAGGTTTGAGCCTCATTTCCCCGTCAGCTAGCGGCATTCTCTCCTTTGCGCCGTTTTCGTCATATCTCTATCGTTTGGAACTCTCGACTCTCGGTGAGAGATTATCCGTAAGAAGAGGTGAAGATGGTGGCGGTAGTGGTGGAGCATCACAACAGACTTTGGGACGGTTCCCAAAAGCAAGCCGATGAGATGATAACCAAGGGTTGAGCGGATGCCTCCCCCCCCTTCCCCCCATGTGCTGATCGACAGATCCTCTCTACGCCCTCGTCCGCGTCTGGGCTCCGCCATCCCAATGAGCGACCCTGCCGCTCTCGAAAGGAACCTGCCGCCCAGAGGCCAGAGGAGCATCTGGTGACGCCCGTTGCACCGGCACCAGGCATGGGGTTCAGTGGCCCAGACACGCGCTGGCGGCGGGATTCAAGCCGGTGACACCATCCATTTCAGTGCATTCACATTTACAGTGCAGGGCCACAGGGTCGCTGGGAAGTTTGGAGCAGACACTGCCAGCATCTGGATGAAAGTTTCGAGATGTCTTCCTCCGCGGACCCGAATTTGACTTTGGGTAGTGACAGAGACGGCGTCTTGCACCTAGGGTCTATGTTCGCGAACAGCTGCTCCGATTGCGAGTTTTATCGGACGCTACCGCCTTCGTCGTTGTTAAAAGTGCCGAGAGGCTTTGCTGGTGACGAGGCTTCTGGCGGGTTACTACGACGAAACCTAGGTACTACAACAGTGCGCGGCGCCCAGGCGGTCGGCAGTTGCGTAGTGTCTTTGCAGCTCGTGTCCGCCATGAGCCACTAGCATATCAGCCATGTGGTGAAAGGCTGGAATTTCGTGTTTGTGATCATTGGTGAGACTTTACATAATGGGCTGGAGCTACTGCGGTGCGTGTTGATGTGCCTGTATGTTCGAATACGGATATGTGTGTGTGATGGGGGGCGAGTATCAAGAAACATGACGCAAACAGGAGTGAGCCCTGTCTTACTGCCACCACTCTCGCCTCTGCAAGCCATCGGTTTATACCTACATGGAGTGCTGCCAGCTTGGCCCGTTTGTTTCTGCAAGACTCACCCTCCCACCCCTGGTGAGTGAGCGGGTCGGCGATGGATGATCTGCAACTGGCAATGAAAAAAAAGCAGGTAGGGGCCGAGAAATCGAATTCGCAACCGGCATTGATGGTGCTTGAAGGCTGAAGCACAACCCGTACCAAAACACACACATCGGTCGGCTGCCCGTTACGTGACACCACTCGTGCTTCAGGGACGATCTTGCATGCGCCAAGCAACGCACATGGCACACTACGAGTTGCAAGACAGGCAGCTGCCATTGTTTGACTTTAGAGTTGATTGATGATTGACAGCAGAGGGGATCCGGATGGCATTTCCTCCGCAAGAGCCAAGTGTTCGCGGGGCTGTCATCCCAAACATTCAACGGGTGAGACTTGCGAACGCGTACGTTTACTAAGTGATGATGAATATGAATATGAATATGATAATGATGATGATGATGACGATGACGATGACTATATTGGCGGCCCATGTTTCAGTGGATAAGGAGGCCCCGTAACCCCCCATTGTCGTTGTTGACGACCTCACGCCAATGGAGTGGGAATCGCCTCTTGTATCCACGGCCGTGACTTTGTCCTGGAACTCTCCGGATGATCTTGCAAGTTGCAACTGAAAAAGTCGTGACCGGGGGAGGGGAGCTCCCAACCCAACAGGGCGTATTGCCGGCTGCAACGACATCATCGGCCGTCATGGTTGGATCAAGTTCCCGTCCGGATGCGCGGGTTATTCTTCGAGATCGGCACGACGGTACCCAGCCAGAGGCAGCGGCGCCGGGGCAGACAACGTGCTCAACCTGCGCTCCTGCTGACCAAGGTTTACCAACAGAGTGTTTTTGGGACAATACCCGAGGCACTCGAAGACGATCGCCGCGCAGGCACCGCCTTAGTGCCCTTCGGTTAGAGGTAGTCTTGGACAAAGGGGGGGTGGATTGATGGCTGAGGG